AAAGGACAATTGTTGAATACATGTTGAATTCTGTATATAAAGATTGATCATTATTCATGTTTCTTCCCAAGGGAAAATGTCTTCTGTTTATAGATCCAGAGGTGGGAGTAGGGGTTGATGTAAATTACATTTCAAAGCATGTGTGGTGGTAATGGGAAAGAGATTTCCGTATGGATCACAATTTGAATATTCTAGTCCAAAGGCTTGATCTGACTGAAGAAGTATTTTTTGGAAAGAGCAAACTTCTTTGGTTATAAATATTTGTCAGTAATATAAACCTATTTTAAAAGGTAAATATGATGGGTGTATGAGACATGAAAGCACTGCATTAGTAGACAGCAGTGGATCAGGAATTTGATTTTTCAAATAGACAAGTTTCTCTCCCTTCCTTTTCAACACCCTATTTTCACCTTTTTTTTTTTTTCTGCATGTAAACCACATTTTTTGTGCTATAGCTCTGTGCTTTAACATTGTCTTGCAAACTGTTGTTAGTTATGACACTTCTGTAACATAATGAATATTTAGTCATATGTACCTCCCTTAGAAAGGTCTTTGTTTTTCAATAAACTTCATCCAGTGTTTCAAGATGTCCTCAGCTGGGGAAGGTTTATGAGAAAAGACTGCCTTTTTTATAAGAAGCAATTCAAGTTTCGAACCATTGGTTCATTGTGCCACTTGCATACTTGTTTGGGTTTGTAGTCATTGAAACCAATTACAATTTAATTTTTCTGATGCTGCTGTGTGAATTATGTTGTCTTCTGATATTTTTTGAGCCCGTCAAGCAGCAGCGATACCCTGAGTCCTTTGCACGTGTTCTCAGAAAACTGTGGTGAGAATGCAAGTGAAAGGATTCTGACAAAACAGGCCCACAATAATGCTGTAGTGACTCTACTAAAAAAGAAAATGTAATATTGAGTTATATTTATTCTGAAACTTCTCAGACAACATTTTTGCTTTTCCCTATTCTGTTGTATTCCTTCATGTAATTCTAGGCCATTAGAAGTATCTTTAAAGGACTGAGTAAAAATCCAGTTCAGTCCTATGCAAATGTGATCCACTCTGCTGTGTATAGTGACATATTTTGAAGAAAAGTAGTACAACAGAACAATCTGAGCAGTCTTGAGTTGTCAGAGGAGCAGCACTAAGTCATTTTTCATTCTAAATTAGGGGAAGGCAGTGGTGTTACCAGCAGAGCATGGGCAATGTTTCTATGGGAATGGGTGTTTAACACATTTTAAACATGATAATTGAAACTTTTAAAGTTAACGAGATTACATTTTTCTAAAGTGTTCCTAGAGGACTGTTTCAAAGTATATTTCTATTTTCTATATGGAGGGAAAAAAAGAGTTCAAGGAAGTGTGAAACTTTGGTGGAAGCCTTTGTAGTGTTGGCTATAATGATAAACCTCCCAGAAAACTTCATTGTTTAGCTCTGTATATGCCTTTGTTAAAAAAAAAAAAAAAAAAAAGTCAGATTTAAGGTAGATTTATTTTTTTCCCCGTGGACAAACAAATCACATTCCTTTTGTTCTTTTAAAAGAGTATTTTCTGGGGTAATTAAAGTCACAGACAGGAGAGAGATGTTCTGATTGAGCTTTACTGCAAAGGCAGCGATGGAAAGCACGCATTGAGAAGGTACTTGTCTAGAGCTTTTGTGGCTGTAAAGTAGGAAGTGGCCAGATCTGAATCTCAAAAATTACTTTATGACTAATTTAAAGAAAGCTTTCAGCACTGTCAAATATCAAGTCTCCTTTTGGTGCTGAACTTCTTCAAGGTGTGTAAAGCTTTTCACATTTTCAAGTTCACGCATGAAAGCTCACAGCATGAGGAATAGTAAGAGAGTTGTTTGAATGAAGGACTACATATTTGACTGGTTTTGATGTGATACACGCCTATGCAGCTTTGGTAATAACTTTGAAAGGCATTTTAGGGAAGATTTTGAAGACCAGAACAGTTCTTTTAGTGCTGAGCACAGCAAAATGAAGAGTGAGTGAGATGATACAGAGGATTAGTGATAAAAGAAGCAACATTGTCATACACTAGTTTGACTAACTAAGTTTTTGATCCCTAACTTACTGAAATAACTGCCATTCTTTAAAAAAAAAAATTGTTCAAAAATTTTTGGTTTTAAATTTCTAAACTGATTGAATCCTGATCAAATTTATAAAACGACTCCTACATGACCTAAGTGCAGATATTCTTTGGAGCAGAATTGTGTGTTTTGCAAGTTAGACCATGGTGAATTTGCAGCATTTAAAAACACATGCAAACAAGTTATTAATTTCAGCTTTCTCTTTATATTTTCTTGCATACTAAGTGAACTGTTATCATTAATTACACTGTGTACCTTAATTTTAATCCTGTAGGAAATGAAGACTTGGTTTTAACATCAGTTTGCACCTCAAGAGATGTGCCTTTGACTTTATTATGATAAAAGCCTAGAAAAAGTCCTTTTAGGAAAACACATTTCCATAAGCTTGATTTTAAAAATGCTTCTCTCACCTCATCATGTGGGGTTACTTGGGACTTGTAAATTCTAGCAGATCTTTATTTCTCGTTGCATACAATTGTTCAATATTTTTTTCTTCTTGTGTATTTTATGTGTAACCATTCTGGACTATTTGTAGGGAGGAGGACTTCCAGTATTCACTGCTGGAATATAGCAAGTGACTGTGTAAAGCTTTCTCATATCTGCACTTATCTGTCTTTCAGTTATAAGTGTATTTAGTATCTTTTGCAGTAAGCTGAAGTCTCTAGTGGCGTGTGACTGACAGGTGGAAGTCACACAGGTCAGATACAACAGCGTGTGAGCAGAATGAGAGGCTGGAATTAGCCTGAGCTCTGAGATGGAGGTATTGCTCCAGCTCCAGCAGTTTGTCTGATCACTGGCACTCATCATTACTCCTGTGTATTCTTGCCTGGGGAAACTATATACGTGAACGTGTGAGAAAGCCCCTATGGGAATTAATATGTTTCATGAAGTTCTTTATTCATTCCCAATCTCCATTTTTAGCAGATTTTCCGGTGCATTTCCAAGGGTGCTCCTGACAGCTTTTGTGCGCAAATCTGACCCTTCCTTTGTAGAATTGCTCTGCAGACAACAAAAGGATGTTGCTGCATGCAGTTATATCCCTGTGCATTTCCCAGAGTCTAACATAAAACCTGTCATTTCCTCCTCCCTTACTCTTCAGCTTGGATGTTAGACTGGATGGGTTAAGGGGTGAGGGCAAGGCTTTCAATCAGAGCAGAAGGATTAATTTTAGGCACTGCTAAACCACAACATTTAACTCCAACCTGCTCGAAACGCACTGCAAAGCACTGGGGGCATGAGTAGAGCAGTGGTGGGTAGGCAGAACTTGCGGAAATGGCAGCCAGTTTTAGGGGCCTTGGGTGTGAACTTGTGCCTCACAGAACATCTCTGCCTGTGTGGGATAAGTGTTATGGAACCTTTCTAACAGCTTTTCTTGTAGTGATGGGCTTGGGCTGGTTGCTGGATTCCTGAAATCTGTGGAAATGATGATGAGTCCTCTTATTGATAGAGAGAGTTATTAAGCAGAGGGGAAGAAATCCCAAGTTAGCAAAACGACCTTTTGAATGCAGTTTTTACTGCCTCTTCAGTTATCTAGAAGCAGCTGTTTCAAGCAGAGCTGAAAATGTCTCTCCTCGATGAGAGCAAATTGTCATTGCAGTGGTAAAATAATAATAAAAGGATTTTGGTGATGGCTGGAGCCCTTTGGCTGCATAACACAGTGACACAAATGCTGGATACTGCATGTGGCACTGCGGTGAGCATCCGGCTGTTCTCCTGGGTTAGCTGCCATGACAACTGCGCTGCTGGGGAATGCCCTGTGCTGGTCTTGCAGAGAGCTGAGGGTCATTGATATTCTGAGTGTTTCTCGGAATATTGCAGGCAGTAGAGACCCCTTCCCATAGTTCTGCTGATGTTTAGGATTACTACAGTGGGTAAAATATGAAAATAGTGTTGTTGACAGGTACCCGGAGAAGGAAAAAAAGCTAGTTTCTCTAAAAGCAGTTTTTTGTTTTACTTCTTTAATTTTGTGGGTTTACCAACTAATTTTAATTTGCTTAGCTTCTACATAGCTTTTACTTCCAGATCTCATTTGGGCATGCAGTATTAAAAAGAATAAGAAAACATTCACCCAGTAAAATTTTAACCTGTTTCCATTTTAAAAAAATAGCTTGCTATCTGGAACCCCTTTTTTTTCCTTACAAGGGGAGTTAGGCTGAGTTCAGTGGAATTTCTTGTTGTGGCTTTTTGGTTTTCATTGTTTTTAAAGCAGACACTTGCCTCCTTCACACACTGATTTGTATTGACTTTTGAGGCTGAAGTTTTTCAAGGCTTTTGGTTTTTGTGTTTTTAAAGAATGTAAAAAATGTGCTTCTTTCTGATACCTCCATCATTCTTGAACTACATTGCAACATCATTACTGGGATAATTAAGAACAGACAACTGCAAAGACCATGGAAGGGACTCTATTTCTTTTTTTTCTTGAATATGAATTACTTTTTTTTTTTAATAGGACATTAAAACAGAGCATAAAAATAAACAAATTCCAAATGCAATCTCTTTAACTCAACAGATTTTCCTGCAAGCAATTAATGTAAGAATACAAGAAGCTTTGATAGTTGAATAGTGTTTTCATATATTCCTATCAAAGTCATCAGCCGGCATATGTAGTTAAAGGCAAAAGTCATCAGTGTGCTTATGTGGTTTATTAGCAAAAATACAGGTCTTAAATGTAAGAGAAGGTGTTTTTGGAGGTAAGGAGCAGTCATATTTTACATTCTTGGCCCTGAGGTTTCCAGCACCACTAGAGAGCCTGAAGTACTGAGCAACTCAAGTGTTTGTATGATTACAAAAGAACATTATGCTATCACTGCAAAAAGGTAAAGACAAACTTATTGTTGCTGACCAACTGAAGATTTAGTATTTGAAAGTACTGCATTTGTTCATTTTGCTTTGTATATTTTGCTGTCAAGGTAACGTGCTTGCAGGACTTCTTTGGAGATGACGACGTCTTCATTGCGTGTGGGCCTGAGAAGTACCGGTACGCTCAGGATGACTTCGTGCTGGATCACAGCGGTAAGATTATACATCCCAAACCCACTGAAAGAGTAAACTTCCCCCAGCTCCCCTGTTCAATCCTCAAAAGTTATGTCATTTAGGAAGCTATACATGGAAATACATCTTCCTATGGATAAAAAAGTTTTTCAAACCATCATCTGGATTCTATAAGCCTGTTAAAATACACTAACAAAGCTGATCTGTTTTCCTGCAAAACAGACACTGTCTCTAAAGTTACATAGAGAGCAGCATTGAATTTTGAGAGGTTCAGTCATGGATCTGATAAATCTAAAATCTGTTAAAAATGTTCAGTTTAGACATCTGTGACTGTAAGATAATTTCCAGGTTTCTGTCTTCGTGAGGTTTTTAAAAAATCGCAGATGTAACCATGCTCATTTCAGGTCTTGAATTTGTCCTGCCAGACAATTCACACATTCCAGTTTGGGGGTGAGACAAACGAGGGCGTTGTGCCCCTGCTGTCTGCCTTAGACAGATCATGAATTTAACTTGTTTGTGAAAGTTGTTTTTCTGTGAAGAGAAACTTTATAATGTAAGTCCAAGAGAAAAGCAGTCCTCTACCAGGCAGTTTTAGAATTGTCCTGGAATATACTGTGTCAGGTCTGGGCCCCTCAGTTTAGGAAGGATATTGAGGTGCTGGAGCAGGTCCAGAGAAGAGCAACCAGGCTGGTGTAGGGACTTGAGCACAAGTCCTATGAGGAGAGGCTGAGGGAGCTGGGATTGTTTAGCCTGGAAAAGACGAGGCTCAGGGGAGACCTCATCACTCTCTACAACTCCCTGAGAGGAGGTTGTAACCAGGTGGGGGTCGGTCTCTTCTCCCAGGCAACTGTCAGTAAGACAAGAGGGCATGGTCTTAAGCTCTGCCAGGGCTGCCCAGGGAAGTGGAGGATTCTCCATCCCTGGAGGTTTTCAGGATGAGACTGGATGTGGCCCTTAGTGCCATAGTCTAGTAACCTCAGCAGTTTTGGATCAAGGTTTGGACTTGATGATCTCAGAGATCTTTTCCAACCTGGTTGATTCTATGATTCTATGAATTTTTTTTAACTGACAGCAAAAGCACCTGCTGTTTTTGTAATTTTTACGAATGCCGTAATGTCATTACAGAATGTTCAGTTGCAGCAAGTATAGGTGTATATCTAACCACTGGCCCATGCATTTGGATGGATGGAGGATTCAGCTGGCTCTGATTCTGTTGATTGTTGCCAGTGTGCTACTTTTCCAGAAACTGCTTGATTATGTTGATTCAGCGAGTGTGGAGGTGATAAGAAGGGTATTTTTTGACGTAGTTAATATAGCTATGGTTTTATTCTTATACAGGAATGGAAGAACATGGTTGTATTAACTCACAATGCAAATCCCAGTCTGGCTATAATCCTAATTTCCCTTGCACATTTTAAGGCTGTAAGATTACTTTTCACATTACACGGTGCACAGACTAATTGGGCTCATTTCCTCGCTGAGAACCCAGTGGTGGAGGGGTTTTTCCTCCCTCTGTCTCTTCAGCTTTGGTGGTCCCTGCTTCCTCTAATAACTCTGAAAAGCAGGTTAGGTCCAGACAGGAATGTGACTAGCAGGGCATGCAGCTCAACTTCACTCTTTTTGATGATGACATGGCATCATTATTATGATGACATTGACATTGTAGTGATGAATAACAGGGACAAAATTAGGAGGGAAATTTATAAGATTCCATTCAGAATGATTTGCTAACGATGCCAGCTGTAGGAATGAAATGTTTCCAAAGTGTCAGTGCATGTATGCCTATTGATTCCTTTTCCACTTAGGTTGTCTTTTATTTGATGATATATAGCTGATGGTAAATGACAGTAATCTATTGTTTCAGCCTTTTGGAAACAATAGACATTTTTCACCCTTCAAAAATTGATCACAACATCAGTTTCTTGCAGGAGAAAGGAAATGGTGCTGGCTGTGCAGTTACCCTATATGAAACTGCTATTACAGCATGCAGAATTTACTGAATTGTCAGAAGAACCTTGGTATCAGCGTGTGTACAGACTTGAATTATAGTAATAATCCAGCTTCAAGATGTGAAGAAATGTTATATGCAGAATGTTACATACAGTATTTGAGTAGCTCAAATATGTTTTTATGCTAAGTAGGTTAGAGTTCTGAGATGCTCTTACAAATTTTTTTAATACATGAGGGCATTTTCTGGGTAATAACCAGCATAGGGGTGTGTGGAGGAAGGCTGTAGCACTGAACTGTTGTCAAAACTCTTACCTGCTTGCTTTGTAGAATGTCGTGTTATGAAGTCCTCTTATTCCCGATCATCTGCCATGAGGTACACTGCATCCAAAAGTCCAGGACCTTCACGTCGAAGCAAGTCACCTGCCTCAGGTACTACTTCTAGGAAAAAGCTGAACACGTGAAATACATGGAAGTTAGAATTTGTTTAATAGAGTGAGGAAAGCTGTTGGCTCTGTCTGAAATACAAATGCCACACTTTGTTTCCTGAGGGGAAAAGAATGTTCTTTCAGTTTGTCTCATAGATTTAATACTAATCTAAAATAAAATTTGCGCTTTTTTTTAATTCTGGGAAGAAATATGATTTCTATTTTTTTAATTACAAGCACAAATAATTTCAGTTTATGAATACTGGAATGATTTGTGCTAATTGTACACTTGGGATGTATTTTCAGCATGGCACTTGATTTTCTTGAAGACCATTAACTACAGAGTGATTATGTGGTTAAATTTGTATTTATTGAAATAGAGTATACCCTCAAGTTTTGAAATTGAGATTTTTTTTCTGTGTAAGCCGAATATTGTAGGAAATACAGGACTTTGATGTTTAAAGTAAATTTAGGAGATGTACTGTAATGCTATTGCCCATTAACAGAGAATTTTTTTTCTTCTTGTAATTTCCAGAAAGGTTCTGAACACCATATGTTCCAACCATTGAGTCTTTTATGCAATGAATAAAGGAGTTTGAAATTTTTTTAAGCATCTGCATTTAATTTCTAAATATAGTAAAACGTTAATTTTTTTCCTCTCAGACCTGGAGAAGTAACCCTGAAATTAAACCATTGAATATGTAAATATACGATGCTCTTTTTTGAATGTAACTATACATGTAAGCTCCTGTGTGTGTATTCAAAACTGTGACATGTTCCATATTCTCATTTCCACATCAATATTTGTTTTGCTTAATTGACACTGGTAAAAGTAATTTTATGTCTTTGGGTTCTTTCAAAGTAGAATACTTATAATCTGTTTATAAAGGTTGAATATTTAACTGAAAAGCTTCAAAGAAGGATCACAGAAAAATGTAGCATAAAGGAAAATTTTTGCAACTAATCTAAATTTTGTGCAATTCTGTTACCTCCAACGAGATCACGTAGAATATCTATCAGCAATTAATTTTATGCAAAATGCTTACAAATCAGTGCTACCATTTCCTTACTTATTTCTACTTGGACCCCCTCGGTTCGGTTAATTTGAAGAATTTATCCAAATGTCTGATATTTATCCTTCTGTTTACTTGCCTTTTTTTTTCATGTAGTCTTTACTTGTCTTTATTTACCCTTCTTCCTTTCATGCATGTTCAGAGCTGTTTAATAACTTCTTTCCTTAATGTCTTTTTCCTTTGTGTCAAATATATGAGTACAGTAAAGAGGGGTGGCCACTACTCCAGTGCTCATTCTTCAGCAAAATCCCCAGGTGAGCCATTACCATTATGGCTGTGTATCAGTAGTGTGTCTCCTCCCTCCTCATTTACCTGCATTCTTTTTGCTGTGTTTATGAATATTTTCAGGCTTGAAACACACATTTTGCATTTGATGAAGCAGAGTGTTATATAATGGGTGTTGTTTTTTTTGTTGAAGTAGATCATTTGAGCAAAATAATGCTTTTTACTTGTTGGGCATCTGCTAATGGTGTCAAAGTTAAATTTTTAAAGGTATAATTTGACTACAGATAGAGGAGCATTCTGAGGAATCATTTATATATATCTACTCTAAAGCTTATTATAACAGAAAATTTCAACCAGCAAAAAAAGACAGGGATGAGTGTTACTGAAAAAATCAGTACAAAACAATGTCATAGGTTTTCATTTTATCTGCACTTTCTTATCTCTCTTTGTTATCTTATATTGTTTCAGCCTAAGTTCTAAAACACTGAGAAACCTCTCTGAACCTTTAGTTCAAAGTTAAAGTATCTGTGAAACAAGTAACATGCAATTTGATTAACAAATTACTTGAGACTTTGGACCCTATTAGAAGTCACAATTGAAATGGTATTAGTAGATTTTTCAGTTTTAAACATTCCAATATGCTAAAGAACTGTAGCCTAACTGCTTAAGAATGACAGAAAAGATTTTTTTTCCTGTATATTCAAATTGGTATACATGTGGAAAGAAACTTCAAAAGAATTTATGCTTAGAAAATAGATAAAAAAATTAGGTTTGGAATATACGTGAAATGATCAGCAAATCAGTAGGATCGAACAAGTTTTTACCTGTACAATTCTTGTTCCTGTACAGATTACCTGTGTGTTTTTTTGAGTGGGGGAGGGAAATAAGTGCTGTTCTATGAAACAGCAGTTTTAGCTGTTTAACCTCAGCCAGCAGCTGAGCACCACGTAGGCACTTGCTCACTCCCCCACTGCAGCAGGATGAAGGAAGTGAATTGGAAGGGTGAAAGTGAGAAAATTCATGGGTTGAGATAAGAACAATTTAACAACTGAAATAATAATAATAATAACAACAATAGTATTGTAATGCAAAGGAAAATAACAAAGAGAGAGAAATTAAACCCAAGAAAGACAAGTGATGCAAATGACCAGTGACAGATGCCCAGCCAGTTCATAAGTAGCAACCCCTCTGCCAAAATTCCCCCTAGTTTTATTCCCGAGTGTGATGCCGTATGGTCTGCAGTACTCCTTGAGTCAGTCAGGGTCAGCTCTCTTGCCTGTGTCCCCTCCAAACACCTTGTGCACCCCCAGCCTGCTCACTGGCATGCCATGTGAAGAACAGAAAAGGCCTTGGTGCTGTACAAGCCCTGCTCAGCAATAACAAAAACTTTCCTGTATCATCAACACTTTCTAGCAAAAACATAGACCAGTGCTAGTTCTGTGAAGAAAATTAACTCTACCCCAGCCAAAACCAACACAAACCAAGCAGTGCTGACTACAAATTCCAGCTTTTCCTGTTGTTTCAGTTTTGTACAACTCACACATAGTGCATCTCAGAAGACATTGGCAAAGAAAAATCTACAGATGTCTCTTTTCAGTAGCATCCTCAGCAGAGTGAACCATGTGTCGTAGAGTCTTAAAAGGACAAAAGTGGGAAAGGACCTCTGGATGTCATTTAGTCACACCCTGACTCAGAACACCACCCTTGTCCGCCAAGCATAGCTAAGATATTAGCAAGGAGCTACAGTACTGTCAGTGTAGGCTGGGATATTCTTCCTTAGACATTTTTCAGAGGAAAGAACATTATGTTAACCAGCCACTGGTACAGTTTAGTGGTTCTCTCAATGCTTAAGAGTATGGAAGTGACTTAGAGAAGAAAAAGATGCCTTGTAGTGTAGACCTGAGTGGTCATGTGCAGGAAATAGTGACATTTCTGTGAACCATATAAAAGAATTTGTGAACAAACAAAAATCTTTTCCTCCTGTAGTAATAGTTTGTAATTTGGAAGCAGATTCTTCTACTGAAGTATCTCATTTTTGGTCATGCAGAAAACAGGATTCAGTAGCCCTTTTTTTCATTGTTGTACTTACAAATTCTTTATAAAACAAGGATGTATTGATGTACCAGGTTTCAAAAAGGTTATCCAAAACAAAGTGATGAAGTCTGCAGGACGGATGTATACTCTTAAATACTTTTATCTTCTTAGAAAAACCCACTTAAATAATTTGCCTGTTCTTACAGGCAATCCTTGTTAAAGTCAAGACAAAAATATCCTTAACACACTGAATATTTTTAGGAGAAAATACTAATCCTGTAACAGAACTGAGAATGTAAATCCAAGTTATCAGACTTCAAGACAGACTTCCTCTGTAGCTAAATGCTAATTAGTTATATCTTAACATCATACATCAGAGAAAGATGTTTGTGAAAAATGGGGATTTATGGAAGTTGCAATGCAGTCAGCCTGGCCTACTGGTAGATGGTTGTAAAAACAGTCCTTGAAGAGCATCTTCAACACTTGGAGAATGTTAGTGTACTAGGTCAATAGACACTTGTAAAATAAATCCAATAGCACTGTTTAAGAAGTGATGCATGACAGACCTGAATGTGTAAGGATATTTGCAGGTGTTTAATTAATTTGAAGCTAAGTTTTATTTACCAGAGTTGTTTTTTCTTTATGAAGAAATAATTCATCACTGTGAATCAGCTATGAAACATTTTTAGCTCTTAAATTTCTACCTAGTATTTTTCTCTCCACAAAAAATGAGGTTCAGATAGAAAGGAAATAATGTCTCATCATATAACATTGCATCATATTTGTGTATGGTGGACAGTGTGCTATTCTGTCTGCATAGTGAAATTCTTCAGTTTGTTCTTTTCAGAAGAATACAAGGACTGACCTAAGTTATATTCAAGTCACCAGAGAGATAACAGATGTTGTATGAGGCCTGTCTGAAAAACTGGACTTTAAATAAATGAACTCTTTAAGTCAGAGGGGGAGGGAGTGTATGTTTTCACAGACACTTGTACTTATTAGAAGTTCAGAAATAACCTACAGCTTTTCCTTTGTTGAGGTTTTTCCCCCTAAATCAGTATTTTTTCTGAACTACTACTACTGAAGTTTTTTATAATCCAAACAGTTCATACTTGTTATTTTTTCTAGGGGGAAAAACAAACAACTTGTGTTCTTGTGAAACATTCTACCTAGAAAGTAGGGCGTTGATCCAAAATGAATAGAAGGAGGGTCAAATGTCTTTAGCCTTTTTTTCTGTATGAATTTTATTGTGTGATTTCACAATAAATGATGTAATTTTTAAAGGCTTTGGCTGTTACTAACCCAAAACTCTTGCTCTGGCAAAGGACAGAATAGACCTTTTTGATCGCTGTAATGACAATGCAATATTTGTGTGTCTTTTTGAACCCACATCCAGCCATGTGAATTTTTTGAGGCACAGTTGTGTGGCATCCAAGTGTGTAATTTATTCCCAAATTCCGAGGAGTCTTTTTTGGTCTTTGTATGCAGACTTGAGGGATAAGTTGTCAAGAGAGATATATGATGTCTAAAATCAAGTTATGGTTTCTGATTTTTATTAATCTATTCTATTTGTTTCCTTTTATTGCTTTCACCAGTTAATGGAACCCCAAGCAGTCAGTTATCTACCCCAAAATCTACAAAATCCTCCAGTTCTTCACCAACAAGCCCAGGCAGCTTTCGTGGACTCAAGGTAAACAGAAAAGAACCATAGAAACCCCTACATTCCATTATTCATTGAATATATTCAGTGATGCTGAAGGGGGAAAAAAAAGAAGAAAAAGGAAAAAAGTTATAATTTTGTAGTGTAGTCTTGCTAGTATAATTTTTGCTAGTATGAGATGGAGAATAGATTTGAAGTAAGATTTTTGTATTCTATCCTACTAGCAGCATTTGAACACTCAGCTTCGGAAAGGCACAGGGTGATGGTGGCTTGAATATGCCAATTTGCCCTCCAAATTTTCCATTGTTCCATTGACTGCAGAAATCCTCCAAGTAATTTATATTCCTTCAGCCTATATAAATGTAGTATCCTCTTTTCAATGCCTTATAGTCTCATAGCATTTCCTGAATTTCATCTGAAGCACCCTTCTTCATCTGTGGCACACAATTTCACCCCTTAATGCAGTCTCCTGCCTGAAAGCATTTCTGGAGCTCCTTTGGGAGCAGCCTGATGTCTGGCAGATTTTTCTGTGTTGCACTAAGAGAATTCCCTTCCTCTCCCACTTAAAAACTGGTGACATTTACAGTTCTTGGAGGCTGCTCTGTGCCTTTGGCTCAGTAAAATAAAAAGAACAGTCTGGAGCACAGTTGAGCATCTTATTGCTGCATTTGTGCAGCTGTCCTTTCAAGGAGAATTTTTTTATGGAATCATCAATTGCAGCTTTTCTTGAAGCAGCCTGGATGGTTTGCACTGATTATTCTCATCAAGTGAGATGAGAATTGGTGAACTCCTATTTGTGAAGAGGCTGCATAATTCTGTGGAAAACTGTTTTCGCATTTAAGAGACTGGCTAAAGGACGTGATTTGAATAGTACTTACATTTGGGTTTTGACATGCTAATTGTTATCAAGCCTTTGTTTTGCAAGGAGTAATGGCACTGGTTTCTGCCTGGCTTCTGTGATAATTCTGACAAAAGATTTTATTAATTAATTTATTTAATATTTGATTTAATTTATTTGTTTAATTTTTTTAATTTTTATTGCTTTGTTTAATTATGTTTGAAGTTATTTGGTTCATTGAGGTAATTCACTGTTGATCTCTGTCTTTATGTTGTTGTCCTATACCACCCCATAGCTACTCCTTATCCAAAGCAATATAGTTCAGCCTTTCTCCTATAAAGCATTTCCAAGAGCAGTAATAGTTCTGACACTGAAAATTAGACCTGTGTGTCTTAAAGTTTGTCTGGACAGCTCCACTATAGAGCTTACAGTAGAGGACACCCAAATCATTGGACTTAGGCTCTCAGCTGCTCTGCACTATATTTAACAAATGCTCTTTTGTCTGTTTTTAATGAAATTACAAGTTTAGAAACTAGATAATTTGCTCTGTTTTTTTCCACTGCTGTCCTGTCTGCTTTTAGCTGATTAAAGCTCCATTAAGACAGAGGTAATTCTGATAGCAACAAGCAATTCTCACTAAAGTGGACGTGTCCTCTTTCCCCTTCACTGTCTATTTCACTCAACCAGGTTGTTGTACTTTATCAATTTGAAATTTAATTGATGCTGGATACTAATGGTTTTTTGTGTCAAATAATTCATCCCCGTATGACCAAAGAAAACAGCAAAACCAAATTAAGCATCTCAGACCGGATGTGTTGCTGAAGTAGTGAGCACCTCTTGGATGCATCTGTTCAGCAGGAGTGTCCCAACTGTGGTCCTGAAACTAAAAGATAGGCAATGTTATCTGGTAAATCATGGGGTAAATTCCAAAAGGATCAAGTGTGATGTTCAGTCACACTTGTTTCTTGATTATGTTCTAGTGGGAATGACTCTTTTGGGTAAGCATCAACATAAAAAAACAGAAACCCTTTTTTTTTTTTTTTTCCCTTTGTAGAATTGGTTTTGGTTAGACTGATGAGGAAAACAGAGAGAGCAGGGAAAAATTTTATTATTTTCAGATTACTGCTTTTTCCCTATTGTTAAAGAATTCCTTGTTGCCAAGACTGCATTGCTGCAAAGACAAGCAGTTTGGCTTCCTGCACTTGTATAAAGAAGGCGCCATGACTACAGCTGAATGAAAATGTAGATATACATACCATGGCAGAGAGTGACAGAATAAGGTGTACTTAAGATTTTTCTGGCTTTGGGAATGCAATATTTTGAGTGATTTGTTGTGTAGAAATCATATATGTTTGTTTTTGTAGAAGATGAAATAGCAGCACTTAATGGTTTTATACGAGCTTGAGGCAGCAGAAAAATGGCAACGAATCAGAGTTGATGTTTCTATTACCTGTAAAGAGCAGAGCATCAGAGCAGCTGCACATGAACTGTACTTCAAAAACTGTTTTATTTGAAAAGCCAGAGCAAAATAAAATATTTTACTGTAGATTAGAACCTAGCTAAGCTTTTTGTAGTTTGACAGTCAATGTAGAGCTTAAGCGGTAGTGCTAAACATCAAGGCAGTCAGCTTGCAAAAGATACTGATTGCAGCAGCAATTTTATCCCAGACAGGGAGTCCTACATCATATTCTCTGAATGCCACTTTTCCTTCCACATGAAGTCTCTTCAGTCCCCAAGGATTCCTTCTGCTTCACAACACCTTATAAGTGGTATGTTCAGGCACAGAAAGTTCCTCTCAGGAAACACTCCTCATGAACAGCTTATCTTTAAAGAAAAGGGCTTTCTTTCTGACTTTTTTAGCTCTTCCCAGCCAGAGTGCCCTTGTGCTATTAATTGCTCAGTACATACAGTAAGCCAGTTTGATATCCAGCCTTTGCAGAGGGTTTCTTCAAGGTGAAGATTTAGGTATAAAAGATAACAAGTATGGGCATGAAGTAAATGACTACTCTGTAAATGTTCTTCTTTGATCAAATGTGCTGAGTTTCTGGTTTGTCTATTAAATTTCCACAGAGATAAAATCTAGTTCATGTGTTAAGAAACAGTGGTAATAGAGAATTAGGTGGCATGGGACAACTAACTGAGAGGAGTCCTTTTGCCTGTTCTGTGGGCAAGTGACAATTGAAAGGTTTAACATTTTTCTCTGGTTCTAAGTGTGCATTTTTATGTAATGCTGTTAGGGGTAATTTAACTCTTAGCTGTTCTGGTGCATCTCTTACTATGCACAATTTGTACCATAAAAGTCATCCAGAGACTAGATTAAATTTAATATTTTGGAAAGTGGTGTCATAACTTCCTTAAGCTTACTTGGGTGTACTTTATTGTCCCCTCTTGAAATTAAGTACCACAGTGTCTTGTAATCTTTCTTAAAAAGAAAACAGAATTTTACAAATAAAGAAACTTTACAGTTGAGGCCTTTCTTAGAATCCCAATTGTGTTTAGTAGCACTGTGTTTGAATTTATCTTAGTATTATTTTTGCAACTGGTTGACCAAATGACCGAAGTGAAAGGGCATTATAACCTGATCCAACAAATAACTTAAGCATGCTTAGCTTTCAGCTATTGTGTAGTCCCTTTTACTTCAATGAGGATGTTAATATACTTAAAGTTAAACATGTGCTTAAGTGATTTGAAGGATTAGTGCCTATCTTCATCAATGTTTTTAATCACCTCAATTTTGTACACATGTGCTTTTTGGGTAGTTGCATGTTAAGAATATTTACATGTGATTATCCAGCCTAGAGACGTAGGTGCCATAGCAGTTCATAGAGGGACTCTTTAATGGATGCATTTGTTGAATTTACAGTTCAGCATCTTTTTTGCCCATGCAGTGGATAAAAGAGCTGGCTAATTTGTACTGGTAGGGAAACTGAGATATTGCACTTATTGTCAAGTCCCTTCACCATTCTCAGCAGTTGGCTACGTGCTTTATATAATGTGATGCCACTCAAAAGTATCTCTAGAAAAAGGGTAAATCTTTCATTGGTTCTTCAGAATAGTGCAACAAAGTGCATGATATATCTATATGCCCTACCCTATATGCTCACATTAGTGGAGGCATAATCGCTACATTCTAATTGGCTATTGTATTTTTAAAAGTAACTTCTCAGTATAACTGGGTTAAGTATCGCTGAAAAAATACATAGTTTCTGTCTTACAGATTATGTTACTGTTAATCGTTATAATAATCAATACTGTCAACATCCCAATGAAATACTGATTATATAAATAATGTTTTGTTTCCATTTGGAGTATGTTTTAGCCCTTTCTTCTTGCAACCTGTCAGGATGAATTTCAGTGACACTATCAAAGTGTCCCCAGATTTCAGAGAATACTTCTGCAGTTAGTTCAGTTTCACTAAAATATTCAAAGTCTGCAGTTAGATTCATCACCAGTTTGAATGTTTTCAAAAAGGCACAGCTGCTTTATGAGAATACCAGGGAGTTTTCCTGAAGGTATGAGAGTACCCATTCCTTTCTTAGCCTTCAGATGAAAGATCAAACACAGCAATGTTTGATCAGAACTCAAGGAAAGGTTAGCAATAGTAGACTTACTTTTTCTGGTTTTGGCTAGGTGAACTTCGAGGTGTCCCATGTTTCTGTCTGCATTTTTGCAGACACAAGGATGTGGGGCTGCACACGTATGTGTGTGTGTGTACCTCACAGTTTAGTCTCTTCGGCACTTCACAAATGAGCACAGGACAATGTATACAAGAGCTGCCTGGCAAGTATGCCTGGCAACCTGGTGGCTAAAGTTCTTAATTTCTCTCTAGACATGAAAGGACAGATGCAGGAAACGTTTAGGTGGATACTCTAGAAGCCACCATCCCATTTAGCTACCAAGGAGTTAGGTTTTTCCTTTGATGTGGAAAAAATCCCCAAATGTTTCCACAAACATTTGTGTCATGGATAATTAGTTTAATCCAGAGTGCAAAGATTTGCCAACTGAGGTACCATTCCACTTCAAAAGAATATGGGTTTATATTATTTATATTTATTTATTTGTATCTGTGGATCCTTCCTCACACTCTCATGAGACAAAAAATAAAATCCCACCACATGTGTAGTTGTAGCAGAGCTAGGGTTAAACCTGCCATCACAGGTTCTGGTCTAACACCTCAGCCACAACAGCAGCAATAATGTTTGGTGGGGTTTTTTTATTTTATTTATTCCTTTTAGCTTTTTTCCTGTTAGTGTTTGCTTTCTTGTAAATAACTGTGGTAAGAAGGAATGTGCCCAGTCATGCTCTGCCCTGATTACAAGACTGAAGGAAGTTGGAAATACGGGCTAGATATTCCCATGTATTGTGACTCACTGAATACCCAGAATAGATTACTAATATTTTAGGTGATGACTAATACTTTGCAGTGAGTGTTGTTGTTTCTGTTAGCTCTGTTAGCTCTGCTTCATGCTTGAAGAAAATGTGGCTGGTTATAAAACCGACTCATGATTTTGCACAAATGTCGTTTAACCCAAGTGTCCTTGCTCCTGATCCTTGTTAAATAAATAGATAACTCAGAAAGACAGCAGCATTAACATAGCCTAGTTTTCAGTTATTATCAAGGAGCAGAGTAGTAGCTGACTGCTTGCTGTTTGATGCTACTCCTGTGCCAAATGCTAGTAAACTTCGCTGTTTTAGAGGCTCTGCAAAATTAAGTTGTACAGCTTATAGTTACTGTACCTTTAGCTGATTTGGCAGCTCAGCTGCCATTAGAAACTTAAGCATTCATTAGCATTTCATGAGCCTTTAGACAATATCCCTATCTGTCAGTTCAGTTCTCTCACTGACAATAGTGTTAATGATTTAAAATATTCAGCAGTGTAACCAGACAATGTCAGCTAAAACGGAAAATGCTGCATTTGCATTCCTGGTGTCATGAAAAGCCATTTCAACAGACACTGAGCTTAAGGCAGAGAAGCATTTTAATCCTTTATGTGGGGAGTGGTGAGCTACTATAATAGCCCATGAAGAAAACAAGATATGGAACTTCACAGAGCAGCAAGAATTTTATGTAGAAGAGGGGGGATGATCTAAAATATATTTTAATTTTATGGAGCTGTACATAGCTGTAATGGGAGAGCTTATAAAAGTGGTGCATAGAACACAGCCAGTACATCTTACTATTTATGGCATTCATTCCTATGCCTCCACCCCTTTTTAAAATAAAAATTTATTGCTGTGTCTGTCCTGGGCAATTTGACAGGACGACTATAAGGAGAATCGTGAAGATTCAGATGAAGTACTATTTAAGATTTTAGTGCAGGAAAATTAGTTTTCTTCAGCCATCATGCTTCAAAATCATTTAGATACTTGTTTTTTACAGTGTCATAGCTACTAAAACTGAATCTGTGTCTGGTTGCATATCACACATCTAACTTAAAGTGCTTGTAGATGTGATAAATCTTCACATCTATAATAACCTAAAATATAGCCTCATAGATTACTAAATAAATCTGATTATCGTAGATGTACCCAGCCACCTATGCCAAAATTCTCTTCTTTAAATGGAAACTGGTAGGGCCGTGAAAACATTTCTTTATTACCTTCCTAGCATGTTACAGCACTACCCTAAAGAGAGCCTGTATTGGTAGAGTTCAGGCAGGGAAATGTCAGACAGTGCCATCCCTGAAGAGAGGTGTTAAGACTGCAGCGTGACAGTGTGATTGCTGCACTGGCCTCTTGATGGTTGTCTGGAGGTGGCTGCCTCTGGCTGACATGAAAACGTGCACAGAGTTTATTGTCATGATCTTGTGTAGAATGAAGAGGGAATGAGTTGTGTTGCCTCCACACAACTGACTGTGTTGTGTTTAGATGGAAGTAGGTGCAGCTGGAAGGAATTTTCTTTGCTTTTTTACTAAAATGTGTTCAACTACTTATGGAAATTGGAATATTGGGACTGAATCTTGAATTGGTGTAAGTGATGATGTATTCTTATGACAATGAACTGTGAGGAAGCAAGAATAAAAATACAGTGGGAGTAAAAAGTAAACTGACTTGGTTTTAGGTGGTTTTAGGGTGGTTTTTTTTTTCAACTTAGCTGTTTTTTTAATATGGCTCTTTCTTGTGATTACCATCAGAAATAAAAAGGTCTTGTGTACATCCACAGATCTCTCCACATGGCGGATCTTCTTCCAACGTGAATGGTGTACCTGAATCACTCCGTTGCCAGAGTCCTGAAGGTAGGACACCAGTAATTGCTAACAGTCCTTGCAAAAATTTTGTTGTAGGTGACAACTGGTTTAGCACTTTTAGGTGGTTCCTAATGACTCCAAATCCTTTTCTGTTGATGTTTGATACATTGTTGACAAACTTATCTTGGGAAATTTGTTATCACAGTTTATACATCAAGGCAGTAAAGATAGGAAACAAATGTTGTGAATTTTTTGTCGAGTGGTAGCGTATTAGTGGACTCTGCTCTTCAAAATTACTGCTAGGAATTTGATTTTGACCTGCAGTATTACCAGAAATGTGTTTGTGGCTGGATTGAAAGAGGAGCCGTCCTCAAAAGAGCTAGTTGTACTTCAGGTAGAACCAGTGGCCTATCAACTGACCTTAGCTAAACTTAACCTTTCATTCCTTATCTCTTTAAAGCAATGTTAATTATTTTTAATTATTTTAAAATTTCATTCTAAAGTAAATTTTTGTATTTTAAAAATACTGAAATAAGTGCCCATCAGCATTATTTGCACTTTGGATGTTTCAGCAGCAGCCACAGGATCTTGAAGGATATCAGCAGATAAAACTTTTTGGGTCTTTTACATGAATTGCAGATGAATTTTATTTGCATTTTTACTTTAAGTTTGCAAAAAGGTACTTCAAAAAAGTAATTTGAGCTCAGAAAATTTTAGACTAAGAACTTCTAACTGCATTCATTATTTTTAGAATATGCCTATACAAAACCATAGTAAGAATTGATTTGTGTGTTAAAAGGTCAAACAACTCTGGGTTTATCTTGTTCTTTCTTACATTTCAGATAAAACCAAGGGAATAAGCAGTGAAGAAAACAGCTTACTTTTAAGTTTTACTTTGCATTTGTGACTGTTCTGTATCTGTGGAACCCATTGGGGATATGTTGCATCCTGCTGACACTTCAGCTTGCATTATTGACTTTTTTTATTTTTTTCAGGCGTGAATGGAAACAAGTTCTCAGGGTCATCTACCATTCTTGAGAAGTACAAAGTGGGGAAGGTGATTGGTGATGGCAATTTTGCTGTTGTAAAGGAGTGTGTAGAACGGTGAGCAAGGAAAATGTTCAGTACTGCTGTTTATTTTACTGGATAAAGCCCTGTGCATTAACATAATTTCTTAGAAAAATGTAAGGAGATGAAAGCAAAGAGCAGCATTCCCATATGCAAAGATATGCACACACTTCAGGAGAAATAGACATAGTGAAATATGCAGAGCTTCCTATGTATTCTTCTGGCAAAGGAATATGAGAACAGCAGAGAAACAATTTTATCCCAAAAACTAAAGGAGGTATCACCTTCTAATGGTGACTCTTAAGGAAACCCCACAGATCTTCCAGAAATCCCTCACACTACAGATGGCTGTGGGTGACAGGAAATTGTATGTGGCATCTAAACAGCCTCTGAGAGCCCCCCCTCTTCTGCCTCAGCACTTCTGCTGCTCTAATGTCCCTACTGCCTGCTGCTTACAGGATTTTTCACAGCTTTCAGTTCACTGTGGGTAAAGCATTCTTAAAGGCGTGCAGTGGTTGGCTATTAGCCTGTGCTTCTGGCTCCCTTGTGCTTGCTTCTTCTGTGAGGTACTGGGCTGAGTAGCCAGAGACTTGGCAAGTGGACCCTTCAATATACCAGATCCTGAAATATTCTTGTGCCTGATTTCCCATGGGGTAGACAGGATACCTTTCCAGACCTGTGCTGTATCACTGCCCTTCCCCTGAAAGCTTTGTGTCACACTTTGCTACTAGTGCAAACATAACAGATGATTTGACTGTCACTTTCTCAGTGTATTTTTTTTAGAACCACCTTCTGCTATCTTCATCAATCTGAGAGTTATGTCAGTTTCTTAAATATTATGAGGAATCCCCAACTTGTTTGCAAATACTGGGAAAATTCAGCAAATGACTGTAAAAACCATAAAAGTTACAGAGACAGTTTCTACTATTTGATCCTTGTCTACTGGTTATAGTAAAAGGAAAGAAAGGTACTTGTGAATGGAAACATCTCATTCCAGAAGTGAGGTTATACTAGCAGGTCCGTAGTTTCCTGGGTCTTCCCTCACGCCCTTCTTGTAAATTGGAATAACACTGGCAAGCTTCCAGTCAGCAGGGACCTCCCCAGACTCTTAAAACCTTTGATATGTCTTTGAGCCAGGTCCTGCCATGATATTTACTAGGTCCTTCACTTCTCTGGGATGAATCCCATCAGGCCCCAGGGACTTGTGAGCATTCAGCTGATGCAGCTGGTCCCTGACAATTTGTGTCAGCAGATGGAAAGTCACTGCTCCCATTCTTGTGGTCCTCTCACTCAGGAGACCGGGCAGCCCCATGTCTATCAGTACTGCTAAAGACTGAGGCAAACAAAAAGCATTGCATGCCTTTGCTTTATCTTAATCTCTATTAGTCAGGTGACAGTCTTCAACAAATATGTTTTCTTTAGATCTCCCTTTGCTATTGACATACTTTAAAAAGCCTTGTGTGACACAACACTGACCAGTTTCAGCTCTAATTGTACTTTGGCCTTTCTTGTTTTCTTCCTGCATATATGACCCACAGCTCTGTAATCTTGTTCTGAAGCCTGACCTAGCTTGTAAAGATCATACAACTTCTTTTTGCTCTTGATTACCATGAGGAATTCCTTCTTCAGCCTAGCTGGTCTTCTGCCCTGCTTGCTTGACTTAGAACACAGTGGAATCTTTTACTCCTGTGCTTCTGAAAGGTGTTTCTTAAAAACTGACCAGCAATTGATCCTCAAAAGAAAATACAGGGTACTCTGATAAAGAATTTTCTGAATAACTTAGTTTGCTTTCTTGAGCAACACTGCTGTCCTTTTCTCTCATTACATAAAAAATTTTAAACTCAACCATTTCAAGATCACTATGGCCAAGACAGACTCTGACTATTACATCCCCCGTGAGTCCTTCTCTGTTCACAAATAGCAAGTCGAGGAGGGCATCTTGCCTAGTTGGGTCACTGAGTACCTGTGACAAGAAATTATCTCCTACAAACCTCAAGAATTTTCAAGGCCTGTTTTCACAGCAGTATGATATTTCCACTTAATGTTTGGAAAGTTGAAATCTCCCATAAGGACAAGGGCTCCTGACACAGTAATTTCTCATCTTTGCCTACAGAATAACTCAATGGTACTTACATCCCAACTGAGTGATACAGTAGCAGACTACCACTACACCATGTCCTTTGTTTTCCATTGCCCTTATCCACACCCAGAAGCTCTCAACCACATCACCACTGACTGTAAGGGCTGTGCAGTGAAAGCTCTCCCCTATATATAGTGCAACACCTCCACCTCGCTGCCCTGCCTGTCCCTATTGAACAGGCTCCTGCCTTCCATCCCAGCACTCCAGTTTTGGGATTCATTCCACCGGGTCTCACGAACAACAGTGATATCACAGATCTGAAATCTGACCAATACTTCCAGTTCATCCCATTTGTTTCCCATACTGCATGTATTGGTGTGCAGGTATTTCAGATACACTCCTGAGCTCTTCATGCTCCTGGGAGCAGTGCCAGTGTTCCCATTGGCATTGCCATCCTTAGGTGATGCCTTTCCAACCATTACCTGCTACAATCTTGTTGGTATCCCCTTCCCCCATCAAGTCTAGTTTAAGGCTCTCTCAATTGGCTTCCCCAGACATTGCCCAAAGATGCATTTTCCCCTATGGGACAGGTGGATCCCCTCAGGTCCCAGCATACCTTGTGTCTCAGAGGTTCTTCCATGGTTTAAAATCCCAAAGTTTTCAGCTCAAGCACAAGATGAATGATGCTTCACAGTGCTTGCTTATGCACCCTGAAACTGGCCACACATCCTTTGTTATTTATAGAGTGAACAACGTTCATGAAACATAGCAGATTAAAAGCATCAGATTACATAATATATTATTTTCAGAAATATCAGCTGTGCGTTTTGGAAATCGCTTGAGTTCCACTGGAAATGGGACAAGGGGTGTGCTAGGTCACTGGGGTTTCAAAATGTCATCTGTGCTTTTTGGAATGAGGAAACTGGGCTAGAAAAACAACCTTTCAATTGTAAAATGAAAAAGAAAAAAAGGCAAAATTAAACTTAAAACATCTAGTTTTATATGTGATCAAATCTTTAGTGAAATGTTAAATGAATTTTATATAAAATAAATACACAGCCATAATTGCTAACAATAACAGTGAAAGAGGAAAGGCCAACCAAAAATGCTTCTTTTTTAATTCCTGTTAATTCTACCTAATTTCTAATAGTGTTGTGCTTAGAAGCCTTAGCTGGGGAGCTAGGATCCTCTTATACCAGCTGTTCTACAAAAAGAATAAGGGGGTCTCTTTTGTACAGGGTGCCTATATGTCTGTATTTAAAGACATGACTCAACAGATGGGCACTGACAGCTCGACAGAAGAATACCAGAAACCTGTCAGACAATGCTGGTGTATGATGCGCTGTGGTATTAGCACAGAAATTATGTGGATTATATCCAGGGGTTTTTTTTCTTAGGTGCTGTAGTAGAGGACATTTGCAAGAGGAAGTTGGTTGATGATTTGGCTCTGTGAATGTTAACTCCTCTTTTCTCACAGCATAAGTGCCAAAGGTTTACTAAGTGGATTTTGCTGATCAGTTGTTTGCAGGCTTTCAGATATAATTTATGGTAAAATGCACAAATTGTGATTCTGAATTACATGTTGTATTCATAGTAGATTTTACACTGGGCCTGTAATATGAGAGGAGGGCATTTCACAGATACCATTTAGATAAGGCTTCTATCTAAAGACCAAATCAGGTTGTAACTATGACAACCTTGCAGCTACAGCTGCACTTTCAGGGAAGAGATTCTCTGCTGCATTTTTTCAATAATGCAGATATCAAATGCTAGATGTTGATTCAGTTCCTTTTTCTGTAAGGTACGGATTTTGACTAGTTGTATCTATTGCCAAAAGCATAGTGAAAATTACCTGGAAGTGTAAAAACATGCCTGACTTTTGCTTTTGTAACTACCTCCTGTTTTTGCCATACATGCCACTGGTGTTCTGATGCACACTGGCGTCTGTAGGCACTGGCAAAAAACAAAACAGTAGCAACAGGGTCTTATGGCATTTTCTTTCTGATGTTCATCAATAATATAAGTAGTAACTTCTTCTTAGATTAAAAAAAAAAAAAAATTACATTGCATTTCTTTTTTCTCTCCCTTCTGGAGAAATGGAGATTTTTATTGCTTAAAGGGACGATAGACAAACAAGAGCTCCTTTCTGTGAGAGAATTTACCAAAACCAGTAATCCTTTTTACTTTGTATATAATCACCCTCTTAAAATCCTTGGGACTTTAAATGACTGCTGTAGAATTCAGCAAAATTCTTAAAGAAAAAAAAATAAAGGAAGAATGAAATACAAAAGCTCAAAATCAGTGGCTAATAGATTCTACAGGATTTTAGAATACTCTATAATGAACTGTGGGGTTTTAGCTCTGCTGAATCCTATTGAATTTTTTACTAGTATATAAATCTTTCTTCTGCTTGCTTACACATATATGTGTATGGTTTTTATCTTTAAATCTTACCAGTTGAACAAAGCTAAGTGGAAGCCTGAAGGCAAATTTTGCATGTTGCATTAAGGACGTAACAAAATCGTGCCTGGTCACAAAGCATAAATTGCAGCTGGATCCTGGGATTAATACACAAAGTGAGCCAGGTTGTGGTAGTCAGGGAAACAGCAGGCACTAATGCTGCTGAGAAAACAGAAACCAAAATCAAGCCCATTCTGTGAATTTTCTGTCAGCGATCTCAGTGGGTCACGACATTCTCTTATGATGACATATTTACGGAGAATGCCACAGTTTGTTGATCGGTTTCTAATTAATGGCTCTTGTGTTTTTCTTGCTAGATCCACAGGAAAGGAGTTTGCCCTGAAGATCATAGACAAGGCTAAATGCTGTGGGAAGGTAGTGTACAGCAATTTGCATGTATACAGAAGCAGCACTAGCAGCTGCTCATTAGTCATAAATGGTGGGTGTATTTGGGTTTTCTGACTATTTTCAGAATATATGTTTAACAAGATGATAATGTATCCAAGAAGCAAATAATAAAAGCAGTGAGTGTTAGTCTACTAAATAACAGAGTAAAAAGCAGACTAATTGTTGTCTATTTTATTGGACAGACAAAAAAATGCTAATATGCATCCAAAATATATTGAAATTATTTTGGTCTGTAAAATATGAGAAATGGAATTTGTAGCTATATTTGTATTTAAGTAATTCCCATCCCACTCTGCCTCTTATTTTTCTCTTTTTTATGGCAGTACATGCTCCTTTTATAAGCAGAACATGGGTTTGGAAAGGAATTTTTGCAGCCATTTCTTTCTCTTTACTACTTTTACCATCCTGTATTAACAAGGATCTCTTAAGTTCCTAAACATTTTCTTTTAATTCAAGCTTAAAAAAAAAAATTCCAAAATTGTCTCTTCAGCAGAACAACATCTCCTATAATGAGTCCAGTTCTGGGCTCCTCAGCACAAGAAAGATGAGGAGCTACTGGAGAGTGTCCAGTGGAGGCCACAAAGATGATGAGGGGTCTGGAGCATCTTTTTTGAGGAGAGACTGAGACAGCTGGGCCTGTTTAGTCTAGAGGAGACTGAAAGGGGATCTCATTAATGCCTATAAATATCTCAAAGACGTGTTAAGAGAATGGTGCCAGACTCCTTTTGGTGGTGCCCAGCTACAGGATGAGGAGCAATGGCCATAAAATAAAGCACAAGGAGCTTCACCTCAACATGAGCAAGAACTTCTTTCCATTGAAGGTGGCAGAGCTCTGGAACAGGCTGCCCGGTGAGACTGTGGAGTCTCCGTCTCTAGAGACATCCCAAACCCACCTGAATGGCATTCCTGTATAACCTGCTCTATGTGATGCTGCCTAGATCTCTAGTCCATTCCAACCCAAACAATTCTGTGATTCTGTGAAATAGATATCTGAGAGTGTCCCACCCCTTCCTTCCTTTCCTCATGAGTATATTTTTAAAAAGGAATAAAAACAACCAACAACCTACAGCCAAGAATGTAGACTAAGTGTTGGAATAGATAACAGCAAATAAAATACTTCTATTTTCACTGCTTTGATGTATCTTAAAACCAACGTGCCCTTGAGGAACTTAGGAATCAAATGGATCATAGTTTAGTGTTAGTTAAAAGATCGCTGAGGCTTTATTAACAATCAAATTCTGCATTGAAGTCTCTGTCACAGTAGGCAGTACACCACTTTTTCAGGAAGGGCTGAAAAGATGGACTTTTTGATCCAGACACTTTATTTTTTTTATGTAAATGACTGAGTGAAATGATTCTGGAGGTATCTTTGTAACCAAGTCAGGGGTTTAATTCAAAGGTACCCTTTTTGTCGACTAAGTGGTGTAACTGCTCTGAAGTGTCATTCAGAGCTCCAAATGCTGAATGTGTCCTTGTAGGAGGATGTAGCAAGTCTGTGTGACATTCTTTCTGTGGTAAGGAGCTGTATGATGCTTTAAGCAGAGGTGCTAAAACAGAAATGTTTTATGTATGCAGATTTTAAATCATGTGTCAGGTGCTAGGAGATCAGTGTTCCAGCCTCTGCATTGTTTTATCTCATATTCTCCAGGTTTATTTAGAAAATTTAGAAAAGAATCTTAAAAATGCATAACCATGAAAAAAAGTGCTAAAATTGCCATCCTGAGTTTGAAATGTTGCAATTTCTTCAGCTGTGGAAAGGGTGACCCAGCACTTTCCACTGCAAACCAAATTTTTGGATGATGTCTACAGCTTGCAGCTTTAGATGGTGTTTATTACTTGTCTGAGTCAGCTGGTTAGGTATCACAAATTAGATCTATCTACAGATAGAAAGTCTGTTTTATACAGTAGAGTTTAGACATATTTTCTGTATGTCTTTCTCCTTTCTTTAAAACAATTTTAAAAATGAGCCCCATGGATGCATACTTGCCTGTTTTGAAAGAATCTGTATCTGTATAGCTACAGACTGTTCTTAGGAAGATGTTTATACCTGTTAGGGCAGTGGCAGAACTGTCCAGGAGGAATTCCAACAGAGAAAATAATTAAATTTTGCTACAGCTTATTCTTTCCTCACTTAGTTTCACAGGCCAACATAAGCCCTGCTTTGAAAACACCCGTCTGGCCAAAATATGGATGACTTGAATGTTGCTCACTGCTCCTTTAAGCAGTTAATCTTGAATGTCCTAAAACTTGAATCCAGTTGACTAATGTATTTTTCACAAGTGGCTTAAATGTTAATTACACAGTAATTTCACTGTAAATAAATCATATTTATGTAAACTGAAGCATATATTGCACTATCCAGGAAAAACATCGTAATGACTTTGAAAAGTACTACTTTTTTATATGGCAAAATAGAACAAAACAGTGGGGTGGTTGAAAATAAAGAACCGCATATTAGTCAGCATTTTAAACATTAGCTCAACATTATTTCAGGGACTTTTAAAAAAAAATATTCTTATTTTAAATAAACATTACTTATTTCTGAGCTTTATTTAAAGCAATTAATAATTTAGTCAAGTGGAACTAAGAAAGCACAGGTAAAGCTATTGTGCCTTAGTCGTAATTAATGGATGTAATAAATTTAATATGCTATCTGTTCTTTAGGTAGAAAAAGCTATAATAATATTCTAGCTTTTGCTTGGACTCTTAATACTAGTTTTGAATTTACAGGCTTCCATCCCTAAAGGCTGTGGCTGTTCACTTCTGTCTGGTGATGAGATTCAGCATTGTGTTTAACAAAACTGCTTCATGTTTGTTTGTGTTTTTTTTTCTCCAGAGCACTTTGCTTGGAGCAGACATATGTTTGTTCAGAATGACAATTGATGCTCTTTCAAACTGAATTTCAAAGGTGTGACTGTTAAACCCGTATATGCCACACCGCACTCTCACGAAACGAGATGCACACACGGCATGTGTGGTTTCTGAGTTATGTAGCCACGTAGAGCTTTGGCAAAAACACAGTGCATCTGTAAATAAACCCTGCAAGAAGAAGTTGAAGTAGCACAAGATCTTCAGTCACTGCCTATGCACAGTGGATCACATCTCATTTTAATGCTCTGCTCACAAATGCATGAAGTGCATGCTACTAATCGGTGCATTAAACATGAATAAGTTCTGAGTCCAGTGACATGATTTGTTATCTGCCCAAGTGTAAGGGTGCTCGAGTTTTACGCAAGCATTGGTATTTATTTTGCAGTGAACCTAAATACGGCTGTATTCCAATATTTATAAAGGAAAATTAAAATCATTCTTTCACATGAAAGGGGCATGTAATTTTTTTCACTCTCCGGTGTTAACCATGTGCTAAAATGTTCCAGAAAACAAGACATTTGAAACTAATTTGTTCTTGAAAGCCATTACTTCCTCAGAAGTATAGGGAAGGGGAAATTAAACTCAATCTGTGTGCTGTTAAGCTGTTGGAGTCACAACGATTTAACTGAGCTATTACACATTTTGCAGATTGTAAATCTGAACATACATATAAAATGAACTGAAATCCGTAACCAAAGCAGTAATAATATTTTTTCTTGTATATATTCTACAACTTTTTTTAAAAAAAATAAAGTCCTTGAATATAAATCCTAGGTAATCTGTCCTTGAGTAACCTACACTAAATGAGAGGTGAAGGCTGGAGAGGATCAAGAGCATGTTAACTATTGATGAGGGGTGACAGGTTACAATGATCCAGCTTGGGGGTAGAAAGGTTCTGAACTTAATTTCACCTCATAATACCCGGATAAGAATATAATCTGCACTTCCTGAATTGATGTCATGTTCTGGAGTCTTTTTTCAGAGATATCCCATTGGTTATGTGTGTGAAATACAGTATTTTAAATTAAATGTGGTCAATGATGAAATCCAGCTTAAAATCCAGCATCTGACAATAACCCTCTACTATATAAATTAAACAGCAAAAAGGGTGCTTCCTGATCAAGTGATCAGCTGATCAAAGGAAATTGGCAATTTCATGTCTATTCAGATAAACTTCTCTATCCTGTTCTGAACAGGAACACCTGATTGAAAATGAAGTGTCTATTCTGCGTCGAGTGAAGCATCCAAATATCATTATGCTTATAGAGGAAATGGACACCCCAACAGAACTCTATCTGGTGATGGAGCTGGTCAAGGTAAGACTAAGGGGGCTTTATCCTATTTGAATTCTCTGTGTTGGTGTGAAATCTGAGCAGTATCTGGAAATCCTGGGAGACGTAATCATGTAAGATTTCAGTGGCAACCTGCATTTTTAGTAATAAAAATACTCTTCTATCAATTATATTAGTGGATTTTGTCTCTCTTCAGTTGTAATTAGATTATTAACACAGATGTGAGGTAATTTTGCAGTGTGCACAGTCTAGACAGAAGTGGATAGTGGTTTTTATATCATGCTTACAATATGCAAGGCTGATAGTGGTGTGCTGTTACTAACAAAACACCTGCATTTATTTCACTAATATATTTATTTAATAATTTTCCTTAGAGAAAGTAATGAATTTATCTCTCTGTGATAAATTTATCTTAATCGATAATAGATCAGACAAATAGTTTAAACTCAAGTGATCATCATCCATGAAAATTAAAACTCAAAAAATCTCACCTAGTTTGCTTATATCAAACATTCATTCCCCTTATTTCCAGTTCACCAGTGAACAGATGTGCTGCTTTCATACACGTACAGAGAAAACAAAAATGTTCATTTTGCTGTCACCTTGTGAGCCAAATACACAAATTGCATCAAGTTTTAGTCATGCATTCTCTTGTCTGAGTTTTGTACATACACAGCATCACTGCACATCAGCTTGATTGGCATATCAGATACAAATATTATATAGAAGCAGCAGCACTTCTTATTTCTGTCTGAAACATTGTTAGATTCAGGAGTCCCCCCTTGAGTAGGTACCAGTCTGGGAAACCTCTAAAAAAAGCGTGTAGTTGTTGAATTCATAATTTCTGTAGCCTACTCATTTCTCTTCCTTTCCAGAAGTTATTTTTATATACTATAGGCTTTTTTGGGGTTGCAAGACAGTATTTTTTTGTATTTTAATTCACCACCATCTTGGCCTGTATTTCCTGAATTACTCCTTCTCTTCCATGTATATTGAAATGCTTGGAATGCCACCCACAGCTCAGACAGATCACTCCTACAGATGTATCCAGGGTAACCATCATAGAGACACCCACATAAAATTTGTTGCAATGACTGAAAATGCTGCATCAATAACTTGCTCAGATGTTGTTATGTATTCCAGGAGGAATACCTAACATAAAACAGAGACTGCACAACTGACACGTTCAGAAATCACCTGTAGATTCTGCACCTAGGTGTGTCACAGAATCAGTGGATTCGTTTATGTTGGAAAAGATCATACTTGTCTTGTTTGTCCTCTTCAGCTTCATTTAATTGATATTTCTGCAATAACTGCAGAAATTCAGATTTGCAGTTCATTACAATTACTGAATATTTATTTGTTTGTTAAGGTTTTTATTACTGGGCTAATTTACATTAGGCTTTACTCAGAACCAGAGCTGGTTTTCACTGCATTGAAGGTATTACACTGATAAGATGAAGGAAAAGGGAAACTATATGCCTGTACCTGTAGGTAATAGAAATGAGTGATCAAAGGTAGGAAGATCAATAAGAAGAAATCAAGACAGAGAAGATCTGTGATTTGTCCAAACTCAAGACAGCAGAAGCTGGGATTACAGTTGAGAATTTAATCTAGATAACCCAAGTCCCAGTCTAGTATCTTGGTGACAAGATCATCTTTCTGCAAAATATTTTTTTTACGGTTTAACAGGAATTTTGAGCATGCCTTTTGTAGAGGAAGATTTTATATGGGGGTTTTTGGTGTGTGGGTTTTTGGTTTTTTGTTTTTTTGTTTTAAATGAAATATCACCTTAATTATTTTTCCCATCTTGATCTTTTTCCTTTCTATTATGTAGGGAGGAGATCTGTTTGATGCTATCACTTCATCTACAAAATACACAGAGCGAGATGGGAGTGCAATGGTCTACAACTTAGCCAGTGCTCTCAAATACCTTCACGGTCTCAACATTGTGCACAGAGACATCAAGCCAGAAAATCTTCTAGTATGTCCCATTTATTATCTAATACTTTCTCTTACTTTGTTCTCATTAATGCAAATGCTTGTATATATAAATGTCAAGGAGCTGAGCAGAGAAGAGCAGGCATAATAATTTAGAATAAGCATGTATGAAATAAATCTTCTGCCATGAGATAGCAATCACCGTAATGCGAGAGAGCTGTGCTCAAACCTGTCCTTAGACTTATCTTTATTTACATTTTGATTGGCTGCCATTTGGATAAGCAGGAGTATTGCCTCACAAAACAATGAATTTTAAAGCCATGTCAATGAATTATTTATTAGTTTGCAAGTGGGAGAAAAGGTGGGCTGAGTGCCATTTCTTCCATTTCTTTGAATGATCATATGGTTACCATCTGAAGCTTTTATTTTTCCCCCTTTTTCTCTCACTGTCATTGTAGGATCATTTTTCTGATGATTTACCAATATTCCAGCTGGGAATTAACTCTGTACATACGTTTATTTTGTCCTGGGGAACTGACTACTTTTGTTTTCAGCAGAAACAAAAATAGCTGTGTTGACAAGAATTATCTTGAAGTCTGCTTTGGGAACCACTTATACCACAGTCCACAGAGGGCATCTTTCCCATTCTGTGCACAGAATGGGATCAACATATGCCATTTGCTTATACACAGAGGTTATACTCGTGCATTACATATTGGATATTAGATATCAAGTGTCACCACTGAACAAACAGGGTCATAATCTCCCCTTGGCTTGAGCCACTGTCATCGGGAATGCTGGTAGCTTTCATCAGCACTTGGTAGGCATTTCTTAAAACCTTCTGTGGTGTTTGTCAGTGTTTGTCAGTCCTGTTTAATGAGGTTGCATCTAGAGTAGGAGTCATGGCTTATCCCAGAACAGATTTTGAATTATTAGAAGGATACGGCTACAAACTGAAAATACTTTTCATTTCATAGTCAAGTCTTTCCCAACTAATTCCACTGACAGTGTTTGGCAATTTAAATACGCCCTCAAACAAATTAGACTGCTTAGCAAAAAAAAAAAGGGAGTGATGGCTTCTCCTGGAAAATGTAGTTAGAGCGACATGGCTCTTAAGAGTGAGAAAATGAAGGTGGATGTCTCACATTATCAGTGCATCTTCAAACACAGTCCAAAGAAATTTTAAGCTCTCATCAGTGATTGAATCAGTTAAAAATAGGCACAAATGTCCTTTCTGCCTAGAAAGCCTAAAGAGATTACTCAACAGATGCAAATCTTACTCACTCTGATTGACAGTGACAGAATGTAAAGGTAACATACTGGTATTGAATGTAAATGCAAGTAATTCTTATCAATTGCTACTTAGAATTACAAGTAGTTAGTTTTTTTGCACAGGGTCATCCAGCTGTCTGAATTCTCTTTACTAGTCATGCATTTAAAAATGCAAACTCTGAGAGTTTCGAAGGTTTTACATAAAAGAGAACAAGAGGTTCCATCAATGGTATGAATTAGGGAGAGGAATGAAGGAAAGTATTGCTGCCTTAGCAGTGTTCAGTTGTTTGAGGAAACAAAAGAAATTCAGCCATTCTGGAGATTATGGAGTCCTACATTCTAAAAATTAGGTTCCTTTGAAATTATGTTAATATAAATATTTTACTTTAAGAACGAATCTGAGACTTATTTATTAGGGGGATGTTTCCTTTGTGTTGGTCTGGTTTGATTTACTCTTGCAGTCACTATTATGTAGCACTTTTCTTTCTATTGAAGTTCAACTTCTTTCATCAATAAAATGACTCAGACTCAGTGCTAGATCATTTATGGGGCTTTTGGTAAGATACAGTTGGGTCTGTACAGAAACCTAAACACTTCTCAGTCAGCTTTCTCAGTCCTGTACTGAACTTGCCTAGACTGACTAAGCAGAGGGAGGACATTTGCCAATGAAATATCCACTATAACAACTGACCAGACTTATGCCACATTAACAAGATGTTAAACAAATCTGATTGTAGCTGCCAGTCCCATTTTAAACTCTAGGTCCTAATCAAATGAAATTATAGTATTATACACTACTTAATATATTTAAAACTTCTCAGCATTCTAGGATTAGGTTTTCTTTCCCCCCCTCTAGTTGCTTGAGGCTATGTCATGGTCTGACCTACATAGCTGGCAGACAGCTCCATTGAACACTAGCTCCAGCTGCAATCAATGGTAATAGCATTTTTCTCTTCTTTCCCTACAGGGCTGTGGAAATTACCTCTTTTCCCCCATGTGACGATGGTTATTTTCCAAACAAATTTAAAAAAAAAAAAAAAAAAAGCGCAGATGTTCTCCTCCTCATTGGGTTTTTATTTTTCTGATTCCAGGTATGTGAATATTCAGATGGAACCAAGTCTTTGAAGCTTGGAGACTTTGGACTGGCGACTGTGGTTGAAGGGCCCTTATATACTGTCTGTGGTACGCCCACCTATGTGGCTCCAGAAATCATTGCAGAGACAGGGTAAGAGTAAGACATAGGCCTTGTAACCAGTTATTTTTGTCAGGTAGCTCCTAACTGTTTTAAGAACTAGAATGCTTTAATAGGCTGGCTCTCCATCGTTTTGTAACAAAACCACCCATGGGCATCATTCACAGTTCCTCAAAGAGGCCAGATTTTTTGCTCACCCTGATCCCAGAATTCACCTTTGCCTTCTTACTCACCTCCCTTGGACCTGCTGGTGCAGTGGAGTTCATTGGTTTGTGCTCCCTGCCTCACCTCAGTGTTCAGAGTCCATTGTACCAGCTGTGGCAGCTGCCTAGGGAAAAACAGACAGGCAGAACACAGTGTTCGTGTTAGAAATGGAATAATTTATATTGGAAGAGGCTCCAGAGGTCACCTAGTCTAAACCTGTTCTTAGGACAGCTCTAATTAGATCATGTTGATTCAAGTGACCTTGTTTGGGTGACACATGCTTTTTGATAACCGTTTGCTTAATTAAATAGCCCCATTTTTTTTTTATTTAACAGATCATTGCATAAATACAAAATAATTTCTTAAAATGGTAGAATTTCACAAGCAATCCTTCCTTTTAGACCTATTAGAACTGCATTCCATGCTATAGCTGAGTCTTGCCATAGCTGTGACTCCCTCTGAATTTGGTCTTCCTAATGGAGGGAGGTTTGTTGTATTGTTTCAGTCATTGCTCAGTGCATTTGTTGTATGGAGAAATATTTCACAGCTGCAGTGAGCTCAAATGTCAAAGGGCACTTGTCTGAATGTTTTAGATTTTGACAAACTGAATCTACTGGATAGAAAAGAACATGGCAAAAGACCTCTTTTTGACCTCTAGTGTCTTAATTTCTGTGCTTTGAAAGAAAAGTGCAGTTCTTTTTCCCTGTGTTTCTCATGAGACTGGAGGATTGGTGTGTGTCTTGTTGCTTAGCAACACATGATAACCTTAGAGGTAGTTACACTACAGGGACTGAGAAGGCACATCCTTGTCTTTTATCGTTAGTGATTCTGGATTGGGAAAACCTTGGTACTGACTTGAATTTGAGTGTATTCAGAAGACTCTGGAGAGCCTTGAGGCTTATGGTGGAAAAAAAAAAGAAAAACCACAGAATCTTGGTTTCCTAAAGACTGTAAAGTTGCGAAGAAAAAGGTGGTTAGGTTCAAAATATCACATAATCAGCAAGTAATTTAGAACAGATTCTCATGTATTCATGTCAATGCAATTTTTTTTTCATTGGAATTATTCTTTTTTTAATTCAGCACAAGTAACACAGCCTTGTTTTCTCAGATATGGCTTAAAGGTGGATATTTGGGCTGCAGGTGTGATCACATACATACTGTTATGTGGATTTCCACCTTTTCGCAGGTGAGTGTCAAAGGGCAAAATAGTAAAAAACAATCAAGTTCTTTCTCCCTGAAGAAGGCACCCTGGGAGGGAAAAATAAAAGGTGGATTAGAGTGACACATTTTCTTTATGTCTTTGTCTTTTCTTTAAATTGTTTTCACTTTTCCTTCTTTTTAGGTTCTGGGATTAATTTTATTTATTTATTTTTCTGAGGTCGTAGCTGGTTTATATGCTGTGTGCAGGGATGTGGGGGGTGTAAGTGCAGAGCCGCTTTTCCTTTTGTCTCCCTGTGTATCCCAGCTCCACGATCCACGGGCACACGCTGCCCTCTGGCGTTTTTGTCGGGACCCGGCAGCTCCCGGGTCTTCAATGCCAGGGTGGGAGAGGGTGGGTGGTGGTAAACCGAGGGGAGGGGGAACAATTTGGTTATCCTGTGCTTTAAACCTTGTTAATTTTTTTTGATAAGTGTCATATGAGTGGCGGAGTTTGCAAACATCATTCTTGCTACTCAGTTCTCACAATATATAGGAGCTCTACTGAAAATCAAATGGATATGCTTTGTGCCTCAGCCATTTTCATTTTCCAGGGAATGAGAAGGAATTGGTATATTTAAATAGTGAATTCTCCTCCTAACATATAAATTATTAATGCATGGTCTGTTCGTTCATTTTTACAGCAAAATACTTAATTGTTAACTGAAACACCAGACTGAGAATATTTTGCAAAGAACACAATATAAACAACTATTGTGGATGGAAAAATATTATTTAGTTTAGGTATTTGGGAGTTTTATGTAGTTAGTTCATGTTTAAAACTGAAAACTTGTTTTGAACGATACAATATAGAAACAAATGGCAAATTCTTTGAATAGAGTTTGGGGTTTAGGCATGGAGAATGTCCATATTCTATTAGAACCTGGCCTTAACCAAGGTTAATAAATATTTATTGCAAAACCAACTCAAGAGCTAAATTTTTCTTTGCAGAAATAGGTACGGTGGATGTTCAAAGTGGCTATGGCCAGCAGAAAAGTTGAAAAACAAAAATCCTGCTGCCACTGACCTCTGAATATTCATGAAACCATGTTTTTGATACAAAAGTACTTATCTTTTAATATCAGTAACCTACCAGTACTCATGATACATTTATTTACTGTATTTTATGTATCTCCTCTTTGGATTTTGAAAATTCTCCTGTTTTGATAGTTTAACAGATGAGGCTCATTTGACTACACGTCTTCCCCCAGTCATATGCTTTCTGTAGCAGGTTCTTCAGAACTAGGCTGGCAAATGTCTTTCTTTTTAATCCCATTTTCTGTTCCTGTGTGTTAGCTACGCAGTCTCTATTCCAGTGGAAGAGCTTTCACCTCACTATATTAGGTTTCTTATCACCTCTGACAGGATAACTATGGCAAACAAACAGCTCAGAAGTGCTGCCTCTATATAAGCTTGAGAACTATGCATTTCAAGTAATAATTAACATCATTTCTGTTCCATCCCCAAATCAAGTTAAGAATTAACATGACAAATTGACTTCTTTCTCATAATCTTTCTCATTACTGCTGTTCTGCAGTGAAAACAACCTTCAGGAAGACCTCTTTGATCAGATACTTGTTGGGAAACTGGAATTTCCTTCTCCCTACTGGGATAACATCACTGATTCAGCAAAGGTACTGCTACATTTTCCAACCTGAAATAGCATTTCTGATGAGTCCCTGAAAAGATGTTGCTATCTTGGAAAGGCAGACTAGAAGATTCAGAACGGACTCTTACCCACTGCTCCAGTTGCTCTGCCTTTTTACTTGGTTTGGCCTAACATGTTAAATGGAAGCTCAGCTGTTTCAGGCTGTTGTGTTGCTGTCTAAGGGTAGCAGAATGCCAACTGCATTTGGTGAACATCACATGATATTCAGTTTACCTCATGATGGACTATTATAGCAGGTTCAGTGCTTCAGCTGCAAAGTAAATGTCTCTGAATTTTTCCCTCCTATTGTTCTTTAAAAAAGAAAAATTATTGCTATGTGTACTGAATGCTGTTGACATTTCTTCCTATTTTACTTGAGCGAGTTATTAGAGTTTTTCAAGAGGTGCAGCCATTGCTAATTGCCCTTGCTAACAGTTCTTGTGTTATCACTGCAATTTTGTTTGTGTCTGCAGGATAAAGGTTCCAACTTGTAAGGGCTGCTACACAAGCTAATTCACTCGTGCTCTGAATAATATCTGAAGGCTCATTAGCGAGTAGAGATTATTATTTTTATCCAACCAGTGAGAAGTTACTTTTTTTCTGCATTTCCCAATGGCTGTTTTTTTTATCCATTCATCAACATTTCCCAAGCTATGTTTCACACACTTCCAGGCATGCATTCTGAACAAACATGGCCCTCAGTCTTGGTACTAAAAGTGATCTCTCACTTCAGACTTACACAGACTAAATAACTTGGCTGGTTGGGAAACCTCTCAGTTAGGTATGTTGTTATCTGCTTGGAGAAGCCATTTCCCAAAACTGAAGCAATGCCTTCAGTTTCTTGACTTTCAGATGCAGTTTTTTGCCTCTGATTGGTACTTTTTCTGTACTGTTACTATGTGTGGGCACTGCCCATAGAGGATCTCATCTCTCCCAGGTTTGTTTTTGTTCTGCTTACCTGCATGAATATATAGAGAACAAAGTGGAACATTATAGCTGATTTTTTTAACCTTTCCTTTTCATTTGGTTTCAAAAGACTTGGTGAAACATGAGTACAGTGAGGAAGTTGCTGTGAAGTATGCTGCCCAGCACCCAGCATACTTCTAATCCTGAAGGGGCAAATCTTTTGTTCCACTGAAGTCACACTGGTATCACTGGTTCTGGTATCAGCTGGCTTTTGTTTTCGCCCAGGTATCGAGAAAATTGCACTGAGAAGAACTTGGTGCAACAGTACTTTCAGTTGTAATATCCTTTTCTCAAACTCTTCTTTTTGTCTTTTTTAATGAAGGAGTTAATTAGCCTGATGTTACACGTGAATGCTGAGACCCGATATACAGCAGCAGAGATCCTAAGCCATCCCTGGGTGTCAGTGAGTAAATTACATTTTACTTGTCTCTAATTTTCTATTAAGCCTGTAAATCTAAGCATTAAAGTGTAATTTTCAGAAGCAGCAGTACACTTCTGCTAGGTCCATTTCTTTTTATGGAACTCCTGGCCCTATTTCCACATAAAGGAGAACAGCCATAGTCTGCAGCAGCACTGTCAGCTTCTGGGCTCTGCAGGAACAGAGTGAGGCTGTCACTTGCTGACTGTGATTAGAAACTGCTGGGGTTGCTAAAACCTTGAAGATAACACAACAGGCAGATGTGTGACTTTGGCACCTTTTTAGTTATTTCACTTCCAACCCAGAAAAACACTCATCTCAAAAATGTGTCTGTGGAAGGACTGTTGTGCCTGTTGGCATCTTACTTGTTGCAGAGCTACTAGGAGTACAGTCTGTTTCTTGAAGCACTTCAAGCTTGAAATACAAGTAGCAAATTCAATACCTAATTTAACAGTAAGCTGATGGCTGCCTGGTCCTTCACCTTTTTGGGCAGCAGCAATGGGGAACACCAAAGTGCATTGATTGATTTAAAATCAGTTCACTGTTAATAAATACTGGGTTTACACATGCACAGTGTTCATTTTCACATATATTTTAAAAGAGGGGACTGAGTATGATCTATGGAGTTCTGGGACACAAGAGAAGACAACTATAATGAGTGTGTCTGTGCATAACAGCTCCTCTGAAATTTATTTATGGTACTGTGTAACATTTCCACACTTAAGACATGATGGGCCATTTAAAATACTGATTTAAAAGAAATCTCAATGACCGACACGTTTTTTTTTTATTTTTAACAAACATTATTTCAAGCTCGTTATTTTTAACATGCTTGAATCAAACTTGTAGCTTCTGTTTTACTTAGTTACATTCAAGCATACTTTTGGGTTTTTTTCTCCTAACTTGAATATTGTGTTTATTATTATACAGGATGATGCTTCCCAGGAGAATAATATGCAAGCTGAAGTAACAGGTAAACTGAAGCAGCACTTTAATAACACCCTACCCAAGCAAAATAACACATCTGCTGGGGTTTCTGTCATCATGGTAAGAGAAAAGAACAGTTTCATACATTAATACTATACCTTGCATATTTTCCTAACAGTGCTCTATGAGCATGTGTGGTGCAAGAATAGCAAAACCAAAGCTAGAATAGTCTCTAATTCTAGTCTTTATTTATGTATAATGTGGATTGTCTCATCATTGCTTGAGAGAAATCGAGTCTATCACAGTGCGGTACCTAAGCTATAAAAACAAGTTTCCAAACAGAAACATATAAACACTAAGTAGGTGTACGTTGAATTTGAATTCTTTCGTTACAGAAACTGACCATGTAGTTAGTTAAGCAGGCTCTTCCCCTCTGACCAACCTGATCTTGAGCATACTGTTGTTCAGACTCCATTTCAGAAACTTTCTTTGTAGTATTGAATGTCTGCCACATTAATTTTGTCCTCATCCAACCCCTGCTACATTTTTTCTGTTCCCTAATGTGGAACTTTCTTTGAAGCATACAAGGGGATCCTGACAACACTACAGCTGAACTTACATAAACAGTAATTCCAGAAGGCAGATGTGTGAATCATGGCAGAAGCAATGGAATTTATTGATATCAGTACTGAGAACTGCATTTGTAATTGCCCAGTCACTTTTATAGAGAATATGCAACTGCAACAGTGATTGAACTGCCCTTCTGTCCTTACTGTGGTCCGTCCTTGTCTGATGCGAGGATGGATACTGCACACAGAGAGTATCTTCAGTTACTAAAAGAAAAATAAAACCATCTACGGTAGTAACATAACAGTGACTTGCACCCCTTCCCATTAATGTTAATTACTCTCAAAGTCCAGCCCACTTCTTAGGTTAACAGAGAATTGTTTTAAGCATCTGAAAGTCAGTAAATTTTAATAGTGTTTCTGCATACATACATACATGTTTTTGCAAATATATTTATATGAATTAAATGGGCCAACAATTTAAATGTAGGGCAAGTGATAGCATAAAAATGAGTCAGGAAATGGATTTCAGGTTCATGCTGTTGTCTACATTTCATTTGACAGTTTGACTTGACAGTTTGAGAGGGACTTCAGAGCTTCATTCTTTATACTGTTGAGACTATGGATAAGCCTGAAGCTGAAAACTGGTATAAAATGCACTACCTGTAATAAGAGCAATTTTAATTCTAACTCTCAGCCCCTCTCCAACTTGCATGCCACTTAAGCCTGTCTCAGATCTCTGACACAGCGTAGCTTCTGGCTTCTTATTGGTGTGGGTTTTTTCTGATTCTGTTAGCTACTGACATGCCTTCAGCCAGGGAAGTACACCTCATTTTCCCTTTTCCTGCCTTATTTCCTTCTAACAGGTGTGGAAGGATGTAAAATGCATAATTATTTATTTCTGAACGCAGCCCCCAGTTATTGGTGAAAGGAGAAGTAAAACCTTGATCAAAACCACTGTGATCTAATGAGGATTAAGCCCCCAGTTTGTTATTCTTGCCCTGGTTTATCTTAAACATTGAAATTTAGTTACCATTGTGTTCCAAAGTTCTTCACTTGTACTAGCACTCATTGCTTAAAAACATTCAGCTTCAGACCAGCACATATCGTAATTCTCGTGTATTGCAGTGCATTGCTATATCAGTCCACCTGCATATTTAATGGAATCCCCTTTAGCATCACTTCATTCCAATACTGTCACCTGGCCAATGCAGATAATACCATCCTGTGGCAGATAAGTAAAACTGCACATCCCCAGTTCAGTGTTCTTGCACAGGAGGCTCCCGCTGCCCCCAAAAGCATGTTGCTGTTAATTCATTACTGATTTTATTTTATTTTTTTGTCAGTTTTAAAATGTTCTGTAAATCTAAATTTGTTGCAATTGTGTTAGTTCTGCTTAAAGTAAGTCTAGTTTCTGTCCCTTGCTTCCTTCCTTTTTCCTCCTTTCCCAATGCCTGCATTGCTTTCCTCTGAGTAGGTCCAAGGCAATGGTACGTACTAACTGCGATGCTTTGTTCTGCTGCACAAAAATACATGTTCTCCATTTTTAACAAGAAAGGAGAAATAACTAAGCCAGTCTGAAGTGGAAAAAGCCGAACAGCCACACAAACCCGGTAAAGGAATATCTTTTAAGCACTTAATTACAAAAAAAAAAAAAATGGTCTGTCTCAAGCGATGCATATTTGAAATATTCTAAGCAAACACTAATATAACTATTTTTTACATCCTCATACATATCCTGATCTATTCTACTGGCAGTAGTTTTGTGCATGTGTATTTCTTACCATATCTAAAAGCAATTAGAAAAAGGTGAGAACCCTATGAAGATATAGCCAAAGAACAAAAACACCGAAATAAATATAGTTTCTATTTAAAATAAACATTTTAATTGTCACTTGTTTTATGGTAATACAGACCTAGTCAGGAAATAATCAGTCCTAAATTAATTAAAAACATTCTTACTTAGCTACAGTAAAATTAAGCCTCCTCTTAAATCTTCTTAAAATAGAAAATCCTAAATTGTATTACGTGGGTGTGTATTGCTGTGTGCAACGTGTGACAACTATCAGAAGCTGCTGTGAGGACAGCACAGGAGAAAATCACCTTCAGCATGAACTGAAAGCATGTCCTTTCCCTTTTACATAACTTTACCTGAAATAGCAGAATCCACTTTATTTACAACTCTTTTTCTAGCAAGCAAAAAAGGAAATGCAATCCTGCCAGCATAGCAGCTGCCTTGATAATGATAAAACTCCAGTAGACCACCTCAAAATCTCAAAAGCCCAGATGCAGCTCAGCTGGTTACTTCCTTGCATGCTCTGTGCAGAGTTGATTGTTAGTAGCAGAGAATTCAGTTGTGTAGTATGGAATTTTCTCCTGGTACCTCCCTGCAGGTAGACTAGTGATGTCACTCACTTAAAAAACCCCAACAAACAGCAAAACCTACACACCCCCTAAATTCAAACTACTAAAATACTTAACCTTTTCTTTTGGGCATTTTTATCCTCAGTACTTTGGTCTGGACAAGCCTGGCAGGAAGGCCTTGGGTAGGAGGGGTGTCACAAGGCTGCTCATCTCCTCCCCTGCCCCAGCACACAGCCATAGCATTATATACAGTGGTTTCAGCACGAGAGTTGCCATCCATATACATCTAAATCCTAGTAGTCCTCTACTTGAGAAATCAGATGTCCTAATCCAGCTCCTTGCTAAGTCGGATAAATGAGAAATTTGAATTTATGCACTCCAAAAAGGAATAAAAATACGTAACTGAATAAAGGAATAAAATACATAAAAATGCATAACTGAATAAACCACAAGGAACTTAATTTATCTGTTTTAACTTAAATCTCTATTACCACTGGTGCTTAAAGCTCTTCCACAAAGTAAGCAAGCTAAGCCAAGGAGTATATGAATTTATGATGATCAGAATCAGCCTTGAAAGTGTGAAACAAGACCAATTACACTGTTCCCCCAAGTCTTCAAAAGCAATTTGTACATATGTCTTTGACACAGGAACTACCAGATTTCCCCTTAGGTCACTTTTTAGACACTGCACTAGCAATTAAACATTACACTCTGATTTAATATAACTTGCAGTTGTTGGCTTCAGCAAATGTACTGCATACTCCAAATAACCCACCTACTGCACCACGGAGTTCTCAGGTTTTCATTCTGACCTGTTTACTCCCTTCCCCAGTAAACTAATTTTTAAGCACAGAATTCAGAAATTACATATTTTTGCCACCATGTCAGTTTTGTGAGAGGTCATTTGCCTACTCTCAGCAATAAACAGAGAAGCAGACCCTTTTCTCTAAGACAGAAAAAATCATGAGGTTTCCATCTGTCACCTTCATCAAGGGCTCCTCTTCTGTAATGTGTAGTTTTTTTACAGAAAATGTATTACTGAGCATCACATGATATCTTGTGTCTGCAAAAACAGAGATACATAAATTTTGCTAATAGCTGCTATGATGAGTTCCATGAGGTATCACAACCACTCACACCATCTTTTTTCCACATCAGACTTGCAAGACAAAATTCTAAGGTTGCAACATCATGGCAAACAGATGCCTGGAAGATAAGTTTTACTTACATTTTCCAAAGTCAGCATCACAAAATGCTACCGTTAATTATCTATAAGAATTCTAATGTTATTTCTCCTTTTTTTTCCTGGCTCTAATGCATGCACTTGATGTCTTGTAGATTGTTTTAACCCTTCAGTTAAGACAGGGCTTTATTTAACTGCTGATTTAATGATTTGCCTTGGGTTTTCTTTATTTTTTGTTTGTTTGCTTGTAGAACACAGCTCTAGATAAAGAGAGTCAGATTTTCTGCAGCAAGCGCTGTCAGGACTCTGGTAGAGCTGGAATGGAGAAAATTTCTGCAATTGCTGCTGCAGCTGATGATCCTCGTGTGGCTGGGTCCGAGACCCTCTTCCCTGCTGCTTCTGAGCCACTCCAATCCCCCACGCTGCCTGCCTCAGGGTCTCCTGAGCTTGCTGGGGATCAGCCTGGTGCGTAAGGACTGACAAAAACAAATCCAACTGAAGCTCCCCACACTCTGGCCACAGTTTCTCTTCATTTCCCATGACTGTTTTTGGTTTGTGTGCTCCTCTCATGGCGAGCCCCTGCCAGGCTCTGATCTTCTTTCTCATAGTGGGTGAGTGAACGTGCACTTTGAGTGCTCTTTGCCCTTGTCTTCAGAACAGCAGTAGGGAAAGACTCTGGCAAATGTTAGATGATTTTTAAGTTATCTATGTTAGTAATTAACTCCATTTCACACAGCCTTGGGCTCTAAATAGACTAACTTACGGTGTAGCTAACCATATTTTTATATGAGCAATGAGATGATGAACAGTGACCGGGCCTCCCCTCTACAAGCATGCCCCGTTCTGTTCTTCTCATGAGAATTCTCAGAAAAGTGGGAGAGGAAGACAAGGGATGAAAACTGCTATTTGCCTTCTATTCCAATGCCTCTGTTTTTAGCCAAGTTTCTACTAAACTTGAAGAGGCAAATTTTCATGAAAGATTTTTTAGTGGACTAACTGTAAAATATCACGAGACAAACACTGGAGATAGAGAGGGAAGGATGATTGTTTTTCATCAAGTTTGTTATCTAACTTGCAGGCAGGGTAGTGTTTAGATAATATAAATTTAAATAAAGTGACTTGGGATGTAAACATCAGCACTGGACATTTATTTGTAATGAAGACTGGAGTCAAGGAAGCCTTTTTGTTTTAGCCATTTTCTATCTTAACTGCAAGTGTTCCATCCACACCTTTCTCCAGGGTCAGACTACCTGTTAGGTAAAATAAAATTACTTTGGACCTGTGAAGGGAAAGCCTGCTGCATGTGATCCAAGCTACAATGAACCAGGCAGCTCCCAGTACTAGGATGAGCTGATAGAGGAGCTGCCATCAACAGCCATCAAAGGTTGTCAGTGCTATCCCCCTGTTCACCTGGTGCAGGCACTGGAAACAAGGATTGGGGAGCAGCTATCCTGAATCTGCAGTCACAAAATAGATGAGGTTTTATCTTTATCATAATGCTTAGTTCAATCTAGTATGTATTCAGCTTAATTCTTTTCCTTTGCTCGTTCTTATGAATTGGTCATAGTTCATTTTCTCTCTCTTAGCTATACTTTCTACTAGAATTGTAAAAGAAAGACCTGCAATAAACTTTCTTCATTAAAAAAACCCACATAAAAAGTCATTCATTTCTTTGAGTTATTTTGTCAGTGAAACTGTTGTCTTACTCCTTCCAGGGAGATGGGATTAGCTACCTACCAAAAACATTTCATGAAATTAATTTGAGGGAATTCCCATAACCTTTTAAAGTTCATTGACTCCTGTGGAAGACTTGGGAACACATGATTAAACAGGATGTTCTTACCTTTTGAAGAGGCATTTAAAGATCAGAAAGTGTCAACTGTGAACTTAAGGTCATGGTAGCTGAAAGATGTACAGCGAGAAGAATGGTAGTAAAGAAATGGAAACAGATGACATGTCTTAAACTATGATAAAAACATTGGGTAGAAGCAGTTATATAGAATTAACTTTGTTGTGGGTTCAGTAGAGTAAGTTTTAAGATACTTGGAGAGTATAGGAATAGCCTTTATATAAAATTATATACATTTATAATTTGAAACAGTGCAAAAATATGAAGATAGCACTCTACCCTTAGAACAGAAACGAGTCTCAGATTAAGCTCAATAAAGGATGTGTGATTTCAGGTGGACTGGATTAACCAGCCACTGCAGCAAGGAGAGGGAGCCCCTGCCAGAGCTGAATTGGGAGATTTGTAGAGCGGGAGCATCAAGAAAGTGATGAATGCTGGGTTGAGTTCTGTTTTTCCTAAGAGGACTGATAGTCAGGTGTGCAAGGCCTAGATATTTATTTTATGAGGAAAAGACTCTCATGGATTAGCAGAGATACCCAAAGTGTTATGCAAAACCTCATGCATATATAAAAGATAGGATGATAATTTGCCTGGTCAACAGCTGCCAGTTCTAAACTATTACTTTGTCTAATGAAAGAAGAGAGTAAAGACACAAATATCCTGAAATTGTGTCCCTGAGTTCATGACTGATCAACATCTAAACATTCTTAGACAAGTATTTTGATTCACAGAGCAGAGGCAGGTGCGAGACTGCGCCAGAATGCCTATTTAAAGATAGCGATGACAGCTGAAAAAGATGATCATAAGACCAACATAATCGGATAAAAACATGGGATAGGTGAGAAAGTTCTCAACGACCTTAGGAAAGCAGTATCACTATTCCATACCTTAAAATAGTTCCACTTACTTACGTTAATTCTGTGCATAGGTGCAGGGCTCAGGGCATCACAGTTCAACATTAAACTAAATATGTATTAACACTAAAACACTTAAGGAAGGCTCCTATGTAGTACCTTTGGTTTGTTACCTACTGCACTTTCATTTAATGCATCTCGTTGCAGAACCACCATGTGCTGGAAGAAGGCAAAAATAGCATAGTTCTGGACTACAATTTCTTTTCTATCTGTTATAAAGGGAAAGAAACAGCTATAGAAACTAAATGATCCAGGACAGTCACCTTTTTTGTTTCATAAAAGTAGCTGAAATTCATGGACCATTTTGATATTGATCAAATGCCAGTTTCTACAAACACTCCGCAGTGGCAGCACAACTGCCACCATGCCTGCATTAAGAAAAAAAAAATTATTAAAAAAAGTGTTTTAAAATATCCCAGTCTTTTTAGGTTCTTCACAATAGAGCTTCACAAATGGCTCACAGTGGAGCCATTCCTGCTGTTTTACATCTGAAGTCCCAAAACTGAATCCTCTCCTGCTGTAAATCAGCACAACACTATGTTCACTGATATGCCCATCAATATTTATCCTTACAGACAATTACCCCCATTCTGTAACTTTAAAAATTACAATAATTATCAAAATACATTAACATAGATGATGTTTTATGATGATGTTACTTTAATTAAGCACTGGCTCATGCTTTGCAGTTGTTAAAAATATTTACACAGGTCCATAAATCTTACCTTGGACTACTCTAGTAAGCAAAGATCTCTTTGTTTCAGATGCGCACATAGTTTACCCCATCTAAACTGAGTAACTGAGAAGGTGGGAGGAAGAAGAGACTAAAAGTAACAGATTGCAGGGTGATTTTTTCCTAAATTGAATAATTTTCTTATATTGATAACTTTTTAAATATTTCCTAAATTAAACAGTTATATATTTTTAAAAATATATAAATCAATTATATTTGTAAGATACCAGGATGTATTATTAACCTGCCTCTCTACTCTGAATTTTCCCTTTTCTTTCCTCCTGCCCTTTTTTTTCCCCCTTTTAAATAAACCAAACCAAAACACAGGCTTATCTACTCTACTAGGGTGAAGCTTGTTGTTTGAGTTGGGGAAGTTCAGTCCTGTAATTTAAGGAAGTGAACCTGCTAAGACCTTATTGACCTCTCTCAGAAACAGAGGTTCACAGTTCAGATATGCAGTGGCCACTTCTGCAACATCCGATGCTGCTTTTCTTCTCTGTGCTTCAAAATCACACTAAATGTATATGAAAGAGGTTGCCAAGATATATGATAAAAGCAACCAGGCATCCTTCAGCGGGTTCTTGGGAGTGTCCCAGTGATACAGAAGACACTCCAGCACCCTGGTGTACATCCAGGAGATCAGAAGCAAGATCCAACCCATGTGATTTCCAACAGGGATGACACGTTTGGCCTTTATGAGCAGGCTCTCGGTTTCCTAATCTATTTGAAATAAAAAACCTGTTAGCTAGGAAGCAGTCAAGTGTTACGCCACTGCCTCTGTGCTCACCAAAATGGGGTTCAAATTCCTATTCACAGAAATTATTTTGGTCATCATTAACTGTATTAGTTTACTGAAGATCTTAGCTTGGTTCCACATAAAATTAAACTATTTTGGATTTCATGTAATGTTGTATTGTGGTAAATTCAAGCAAGTGACTCAAGTGCTACACAAACATTCTAACCAGTATGGGAAAGGTCTCACTGGTTTAGAGCAGCACCCTCAGAACAGCCTATCTCTGGGTTTATTTAATGAGGATAAAACCAGTTTCTCAAGAATAGTAAAGACATCTTTACTCCTTTTGAATTATTTTTGGGTGAAAGAGAAAGCAAAAGAGAGATGCCATACCACAAACACATTTAAATCTCCATGAATATGGAATTTAGGACATAAAATGGAAAAGCTACAATCTGGACAGTCACCATATCTAGGCCGTTCTTATTCAATATATCTAACAGCAATAATGTCCTGACTAAGGCTACAATAAAATTAATTTCCCATTACCTTGGTATCAGATTAGCTCTTCTGGACAGTTGTGCTGACTGCTAAACCAGCAGAGCAGGAATCTTTATCAGGGATAAGAAATCCCCACCCTGACCACCCCATCACCTCTTGCCAGATCCTACAGTGCTTCCATCAGAAATTTTTCACAAAACAGAAGGGGTTTCAAGCTATTTCTGTCAAGTACTTCTCCACAAATCAAACGTGCAGCACTGCTGCTGATCACTCTGACTCACAGCAGCAGCAAACGCTACTTTCCAGAGCACCTCCCGTAAAATCCAGCTGACAGCAGGTCACTCTGAACTTACCAGAACAGAAGAAAGCCTGGACTGTCATGTAGAGAAATGCTCCCTCCGCATCTGAAGAGTCAGTCCCTCTTTTCAGGAATATTCTGCAAGTAACAGCCAAATGAGGCCCAGCTACAGATTAATGCCTGGCACCTGCTGATTAAGCAGTTTTCAGGCAATCCA